AGAAATTCACAGAAGAAGAGGTGGAACAGCTGGGGCACAAACCAGTGCGCATACTGGATACCAGTGCTGGCTACTGCACTGGTCCCTCAAATAAATTAATAATAATTAAAAATACTTGCGAACCTTAATAAGGGTAACGATTCTAAGATCTCACCCACAGATTATTTTTAAGTAGTTCTGGTCTGGGACCAAGTTTGAGAAAATACTTCTGAAAGGATCCACAGACTACTTTTTTGTTATTGCTATTTATTTGTTTAAAAATTTATTTATTTATTTATTTATTTGGGCCCAGCACAGTAGCCTAGTGGCTAAATCCTTGCCTTGCATGTGCCAGGATCACATATGGGCACTGGTTTGTGTTCTGGTGGTCCACTTTCCATCCAGCTCCCTGCTTGTGGCCTGGGAAAGCAGTCGAGGACGGCCCAAAGCCTTGGGACCCTGCACCCACGTGGCAGACATGGAGAAAGCTCTTGGTTTTGGACTTTCGATTTGCTCAGCACTGGCAGTTGCAGCCACTTGGGGAGTGAATCAGCAAATGGAAGATATTTCTCTCTATCTCTCTTCCTCTCCATATATGCCTTTTCAATAGAAATACATAAAACTTTTAAAAATTTCATTATTTACTTGAAAATAAATTGCACACAGAAAGATCTTCCATCTGCTGGCTCACTTCCCAGATGGCTGATGCTGCGTCAGGCCAGAGCCAGCAGCTTCACCCAGGTCTCCCACATGGGTGGGAGGGGCCCAGACGCTTGGGACACCTGCTGCTGCTTTTCCTAGGTTGTGAGCGGGGAGCTGAATCAGAAGCGGAGCAGCTGGGACTTGAGCTAGAGACCATATGGGAGACCAGCCCTACAGGTAGCAGTTTAATCTGCTGGGCACAGGGCCAGTTCCCACATGGTTTTTAAACATTTTTATTTCTTTTCATCTTACTTGGAAGTGGGAGTTGAGGGGTAAGGGGCAGATCTTCTATCTACTGGTTCCTTCCCCCAAAAGCCCACAACGGCCAGGGGTCAGGTCAGCCCCAGGTCAGCAGACCCATCCGGGTCTCCCATGTGCCTGGCAGAGACCGCAGTACTTGATTCATCGCCTGCTGCCTGTCACAGAGTGAACCAGCAGGAAACTGGAATGGGGAGTGCAGGACGGGACTGCCCCAGCACTGTGAGGGGAGTGCAGGACAGGGCAGCCCCAGCACTGTGAGGGGAGTGCAGGAGGGCTGCCCCAGCACTGTGAGGGGAGTGCAGGACAGGGCAGCCCCAGCACTGTGAGGGGAGTGCAGGAGGGCAGCCCCAGCACTGTGAGGGGAGTGCAGGAGGGCTGCCCCAGCACTGTGAGGGGAGTGCAGGACAGGGCAGCCCCAGCACTGTGAGGGGAGTGCAGGAGGGCTGCCCCAGCACTGTGAGGGGAGTGCAGGACAGGGCAGCCCCAGCACTGTGAGGGGAGTGCAGGAGGGCTGCCCCAGCACTGTGAGGGGAGTACAGGAGGGCAGCCCCAGCACTGTGCTGGGCAGCATCTTAAGTGCTGCAGCGCAGGTATTTCTAAAGAACCCCTCAACTCAGGGCCAGATGGCAGCACCTGCCGGGGGAATATCACACACACATTCTTATGGCTGGGATGGCTACAGCTTTCCCAAGGTGCCTCCTAAAAGCCGAAGAAACTCTTCGAAATTACAGTTCAGGAACACAGACAGAGGGCAAGGGAAAAGATGACAGGAGGCCACTGACAACAACGCTCTTCTCATCTGCTGGTTCATCCCACGGCCATGGGAGATCTGGGCAGTGGCAAGGAACCAAGGGGCCATGCATTAGTACAGCATGCCCAAGGCAGGGGGCTGCTTGGCATGCTGCCTTCCCAAGACCTCCTCTGCTGAAAGCCACATCAATTCTGAGACGCGCAGAAGTGAACAGTGGCCTGGAAAGAGGTCTGATCCAATCCACACAGAATTGCTCCTCAAACGAGAGCCTGCTTTTGAGTTACAGTCCATCAGCACGGGTAAACAGGAGCTGCACTGCCTCACACCGCTCCGGCCTGGGGCTGAGAGGTGCAACGCCCTCCAGAACATCAGGCTCAGGGTTCCTTGCAGGGAAAGGAAGTGGCTGACCAGGTCCCCTCCCAGGGCCCCTGCGGCAGCTGTCTCCTGGGCGCTCCCCTCACCTGTAGTAGAAGTGCACAGGGCTGAGGTGGCTGACCGTCGGCATGTAGGAGTAATAGAAGGAGCCGTACAGAAACACGGACACCCAAAGCAGGAGCAGGATGGTGCAGAAGAGTACCCCAAACTGTAGCAGCAGCCTGCGGGCACGGCCCGCCAGCACGTGGCCCACCTCCTGGGCCCACAGGAAGGCGGGCAGGAGCGGCTCGTTGGCCATGGCGGCGAGAGCAGGGGGTCTGGTTCCAGGCTCAGGCCTCGAGTTCTTGGCTGCTCTGCCACATGGACGCCACCCCTGGCCATGAGATGAAGAGGCTGAAGGCTCCTGGAATGAGAGAGGAAGAATGGCTCTCTTCTTCAAGGAGATGGGGGACAAAAAAAGGGTACTGGGGGCCCAGTGTGGAAGCCTAGTGCCTAAAGTCCTCGCCTTGCATGTGCCAGGATCCCATATGTGCATCGGGTCTAATAGCGGTTGCTCCACTTCCCATCCAGCTCCCTGCTTGTGGCCTGGGAAGGCAGTCGAGGAAGTCCAAAGCCCTGGGACCCTGCACCTGTATGGGAGAATGGGAAGAAGTTCCTGACTCCTGGGTTCGGTTTGGCTCAGCTCCGGCCGTTGTGGTCACTTGGAGAGTGAATCACCAGATGAAGATCTTTCTCTCTGTCTCTCCTCCTCTCTGTATACCTGTTTTTCCAATAAAAATAAATAAATACTTATTAATAAATACTACTTAATAAATACTTATTAATAAATACTACTTAATAAATACTTATTTATTTTTATTTTGTACTTATTTTATTGCAAAGTCAGATATACAAAGAGGAGGAGAGACAGAGAGGAAGATCTTCCATCTGATGATTCACTCTCCAAGTGACCACAACGGCCGGAGCTGAGCTGATCCAAAGCCAGGAGCCATGAACTTCCCCCAGGTCTCCCATGTGGGTGCAGGGTCCCAAGGCTTTGGACCATCCTCAATTGCTTTCCCAGGCCACAAGCAGGGAACTGGATGGGAAGTGGAGCAGCCGGGATCAGAACTGGCAACCATCTGGGACCCCGGCGCGGTCAAGGCAAGGATTTTAGCCGTTAGACCACCATGCCGTGCCCAAAAAATAAATAAATCTTAAAAAAAAAAAAAAAGCTTCCTGGTCTCGTTTTGCGGAGTTACAGTCAGCCAAATAAAGTAAAACCACTGCTTCACATGTCTTTACTCCAAAGGCCGGTGCTTCTCAAACAAACCACTTGGGTATTCATGACAAATTTAGCCCGCGCAGAAGGTGCGCTGTGCACTGTTCCAAAGCGGCTTTATATACATACACACGATGACGCGGGAACTCACAGCGCCAGGCATTGCACAGAGCGCAGGAGCGCACGTGCGACTTGCCCAGGCTCGCAAAGCTGGCAACAATACCAGCAGCCTAAGACCAGTAGCAACTGCCAATCAACCCAGTGTCTCCTCTCTGGGGAGCTGCACTGGCTCCCTGCAAGGCTGTGCCCCCACGCCACCAGGCAGAGTGGCCGGCAGCCCTGCATACTGCCCCCATCGCACTGCTTGACGGGCACCAGGAACCCCCACCTAACCGTGCCTCCATGGAAACCAGCTGGCCGCCAGCTGCAGCACTATGGACTCACCAGCCTTGCGTGCTACCCAGCAACCGTGGGAAAGGGTTTCCGGGTCCCGGGGAAGCTCCGCCCCTTGCAGTCTGAGAAGGCGGGGCCTCGTCCAGGGAATGAGGCGTGGCCACTGCTACGTGGGGTCCACCCCCTAGTGCTCTCCACTGTCCCTCCCCTGCAGCCTGGTACCAGACCACAGGAATGGCACCTCCTCCCGGGGCATGCTCTGACTCAGCTGCGTCCCCTCCGCCCATAGGCCATGAGGCCCCAAAGCCGAAGCTGCAAGTTAAGGGGGTTGGAAGGATAGAGACGGCCAAGTGAGTGAGTGTCCAATCGGCACTGATTTTTGTCCCCCACCATCCCTGGACCGGTGGGCGTCTAAGCCTGCAAGGCGAGGGCTCTGTGTCTCAGGTCAGGCCTCTGGTTTTCAGGATGCACCATCCACCTCCCCTGACCCTTGCTGGATACCCTTTCCTCAGGATGCCCACAGCACATTGTCTACACCAGGTCTACACAGTTGGCCTTTTCAATCTTGTACCTTTCTGGTCACTAGACAGTCCTTCAGGGAAAAGGCCAGTCCACCACGGGTGAAGGAGCTGATTAATCAAAATGTCGGCATTTCTTCAAACCAACACTCACCTCGCAGCCCGGGCTGCACCCCCCACCCCCGCCCTTGCTCCCACATCCCCCCCAGGAAGCCTATTTCCAGAATGTGTCCCCTGACTGTCCCCCCACAAAGCCCCTTACCTCTTCTTTGTTGGATCCTTTGGTCTGATCTCCTTTTCCTGCAGCCCCTCCTCTTTGGTCAGCCATTCCTGTGGGCCTCTCCTTGCTCGCACTCCTTTGCCGGCCCCGGGTCTGTCACTTGTGGCTGGAACACCAAGTGGTGAGCTATGCTGATCACCTGTAGTGCATCACATTTTCCTGGCTATGGGGAATGGAGGGTCCCTGGGAGCGAAACGGAGACTCAGGGGCAAAGTGCTGTGTCAGGGTAGGGGGAGGAAAGGAAGGGGGGGGGCAACTGCCCAGCTGATGTCAGATTTCCAAATGAGCAGGGTCCCTGGCAGCCAGCGGGGACTGCAGGAGCTGTCCCAGGTCCAGACCATCCACTGGGAAGAGGGGGAACGTGGGGTCTGTCTCTTTCAGCTCCTTTGGGAAGCGCTCTAGCCCAGACTCAGGATGCCTGCAATGGGGGATGGGCACGCAATGAGCCAGGAACAGTGTGAGTGGGGGGGGGGTTGTGCGCAGAGGATGCGGGGCGGCAGCCCGGCTCCCCCACTGGCCAGGCAATTGGTATGCTCCAGGCTCTGAACAGCTCCTTCCAGCATCCTTCATCCTTCAGGTACCAGCCATCTGGGCAGTGCTGGAGCCACAGAAACGGAGCCCAGCACCCCTCTCGACCCCTGGCCTAAACCTCCCCAGCAGCCTTCAGTCTTAGTGGCTTCTGTGTCGGCTCCTTCCAGCGGCAGCTCCTTGAAGGGTGGGGCACACATCTGAGGCAGAAGGTTTTGGTGTCCCCCCCTCCACCCTCCACTCCAGGGCTGCTGCTGCTGCCTGTCACAGCAGGTGAGTAAAAAGAAGCTGGTTTTTTTTTTCCTCCTGTTGGAGCGCTGGGGGATGATGTGCCCTCCTCATCAGGGTGGGGCTTTTCCTGGTCGAAGGTTTTGGAGTTGCGAACACATATGGCTCCAAGGAGTGAAGAGCCCTAAACCATCTGGGCAATGTTCGCTGCTTCATGGCCCAGGCAAAGGGCGAATTTGGGGAGGAAGACAGGGATGGGTCCAGCAGGCTACAGGAAGATGGTAAGGCCAACAGGGGCACGGGTACAGGGTGGCAGGGCGGAAGAGTCTTTGGTTGAGACTGTGCGCTGAGCTGTCCTTCCCTGCTCCAGGATGAAAGGGGACACCCCTGTGAATAGCACCATGAGTATTGGACAAGCCCGCAAGATGGTGGAGCAGCTTAAGATCGAGGCCAGTTTGTGCCGGATAAAGGTGGGTGGGACCCGGCTCTCATTAGCATTAGTGGGCCAGGCTTTGGATGCTTTCCTGCCTTAAGTTAAGGAGACCCTAGGAAGAGTGTGTCTCCTGGACTCTGTGGGGAAGAGGTCTCCAGGGAGACCCATGGGGAGGGAGGCTACCGCAGGCTCAAGGTTTCTGGCTAACTACCCTCTGGCTGCCTCCCAGGTGTCCAAAGCGGCCGCCGACCTGATGACTTACTGTGACGCCCATGCCTGTGAAGACCCCCTCATCACTCCCGTGCCCACTTCGGAGAACCCCTTCCGGGAGAAAAAGTTTTTCTGTGCACTGCTCTGAGCTGCCCTCTTCCCGACTCCTCACCCTTCCCTCTCCCAGGCCCCTGCGCACCCCTAGCCCTGGCCCACCCTGGACATCTGATGAAGCACAAGGCCCTCCCTTACCCACCTGTCGACCTCATTCCGCTGCCCCTGGTGGCTGACACCAAGCACCCCGCGACCGGCACCCCCTGCTCCACCCAAGGCAGGGTCCTGTCCCACTCTGCCAGCGTCCTGCCTGCGTCCCTCTGTGACCTGCTCCGACAATGGGGAGAGGGATGGGCCGGGTGCTTGCTCTCAGTCTCACCTGGAGCTTACTGGCAGGGTAAAGCCATGTGAAGAATAAAGTCCTCCAGAGCCTCAGAGGACAGCTCCCGTGTTAGCGTTCTTGGGGAAAGAGGACCACCAGTCAATAGCGGGGCCATAGCCGGGGAACGGGGCCCGTCAAAGCAGGTGGGATACTGTCCGGCATCGGAGACCAGCGGGCAGGCGGGCGCGAGAGCGCCCCCACGGTAAGACTTAAGTCACAGCCGATGCTCGCAGCCTCCCGAGGGCGTTCACACACACGTATTGGCCCGCGCGCGCGCAGCGAACGCCGAGGAAATGGCAGCCTGGCCGAAGCCCGCGGGCCTGTGGGAGTGGGTGGGAGGCAGGGCCGGGGCGGGGCACGGCGCCGGAACATGTAGGAGCCGAGGGGAGGGGCGAGGCTCGTTACCGCGAAAGGCGCGGGTTTCAAGGCCTAAGATGGCTGCGCCCACGCCGGCTCCGGAAAACATGGCATCTGCCACACGCGGCGCCAACATGGCGGCCCCCGCCCGCGGCGTTCCGCCGTACAGCGTTATCTTAAAATGGCGGCTCCCAGGCATCCAGCCTTCCCGATAGGGTTCCTTCCGTGCGCGTCTCGTCTCAAAATGGCTGCCCTGCGCCCCTCACGCCCGCGGGTGGACGTGGACGAGAGCGCACCGCGAAGCCGGCGCTGACTGCGTATGGATCCTGAGAGGGAACCTAGATTTCCCTCTCGCCGAATAGAGGCTCCCTTTGGAGCGGCGACACTGGGCTGGAACGCTGCGGCAGGGACGGGTTCCTGCTCGGCATCGTCCATCTTGGGGCGTCGTTCCTCTGCAGCTTCCTGCTCTCGCAGGAGCTGGTAGCCCTGGTATTGTTAGTTAAGCTAGAGTTTCCTTTTCTTCTCGACTCCACCCCATAGGTCCGAATGCAGCGCCTGCATCTTTTCGCAGGGGAGCTAGGTTATTGCCAGTCTAGATCTGACCCTAAGGGCGATTATCCAAGCGGGGGGAGGCCACGGCAGGGCAGGTGGAATCCCGGGTCAGCTAGTGGGTATTACGACGGAGGAGCTTGGGGCGGCCTGCCTCCTCATGCGGAAGGAACAAGGGATGCTCTATCAGCAGGCAGCTGAAGGTTGCCTTCTCAAGGTCCAGGGAGAACTAGTGTAGCTTTGTGTTTCTGAACCTAAACAATGGTCCGGAATACAAAGCTGAGGTGACCAGGTCAAGTGGGCCCCGCCTTTCTGGGTGCTAAGCAAAGCCTGGAACATCAGGTACCAAGCCTGCCTCCTGGCAGAGCACTCTGGTAACTAAGGAATGGATTTACCAGTCATGCCAAACGGCAAGTGAGGCACAGCAAAGAATCTCTCCCTACTGCTTCAGCGTTGGGCAAATTCCAAAACAAAGGAAAATTTCCACATCAGCTTAGACTCGATCCAAAGCCAGGACTCAATAAACGCTAATACCTTTGATACCAAGTTTACAAGTCTCCTCATTTGTTCTGCATAATTTTCATACCCATCTGATCACTCAGCAGCAGTAATCAAAGAATGGTTTTCTAAAACCTCTCCTTCAAATTCATCACACAAAACATGCACCAAGCATCTGGAGTGGGCTTTTCCACCTACGTGACTTAGCTGCCTTCCCAAATGCAGCCTCCTAGCTGGCTTTAGCATAGGCCAAATACATGCTGTGAGCTACCATTCATTTTCCTCTGTTCCGACTCTGTCCAACGGGAGCACCAAGTAGACTGAAGTGGCTGGCTGCCAGGTCCAGACAGGGTGGGAGGGGAGGAGCTGCTGTGCAAGGCCAACCTCCAGAAGGATTCAAAATTCAAAAACCAAAGGGCCCGTTGACAGACTCCACCCCAGTCAGTGCAGCCACAGGAGAGGGTGGATTCAGTCCAAATGGCGATTTATTCTAAAACTGGACACTGTGGTGCCTACATTTTTGCCAGAATGTTGTAATGAGAACAGGGGAGGAGAAAGTTACAGATATAAGCAATGACACAGTTACATTTCTTTTTAATGGTAAAACCCTTTTTTACTGGCCACTTCCAAGAATGCTTTACAGGTTGTGCAAAAACATTGACAGGCTCCACGTGGTGTTTCTGACAAGCTTTTCATCTAAAACAACTACAACAGACGTCTGATAAAACACTAAACAAGTCTTCTAAGGACTGTTGCCATAATCCACATATACCCCCTGAACATTGCATTTTCATAATAAAAATGGACAGACAGAAACAAAAGCAGACATCCACTGCTGTTGCCCGTGATCTCTTAAAAACCAGGATGTGGCAGTTGCACTCTTCACCCACCTAGAACAATGTAAAAAAGCCCCCCACCCCGCCCCCAGAATCCCCAAGCAGTTTAAGCTTTGTCCCTGTCTGACCACCAGGAAAAGGCTATTCACTGGAGGGCTTCAGCATCTGAAAAAAGCATGGCAGCCTCTGCCTCAAATTCAAACTTTTGTATAATAACCTTGCCCTAAGGGAGTTTTTTAGGGCTCCAGTTTTCACCTCCTTGCCCAGATGCTAAGAACAAAGTTTTCTCAAACTCTTAACAAGGAGTTAGAGGGTTACAGGAAAGTTCATGCAGTCACTGGACCCACTGTCGCACACACATCCTTTGGATGGCACCACCAACTCATCCACCAGCCCCTGCTACAGGACCGGGGCCAGAGACAGAGAAGGGCGTGTCCTGATGCTGAGGAGCAGGGGGAGCAGGGAGCCAGGATGCGGTGTGCACACCTGGAGGACCACACAGCATGGCAGTAACAGTGGGACAAGACCAAATCTCTGCACAAAATCTTCCACAGAGATGCCAAGGGGAGGAAACGAACGAAGCTTTTTCTAGTCGCAACCCAGGGCTTTCTCTTGCTAGATAGTGCTACAGTAGGTGGTGTCTGCCGAGTAAGCTCCTGGCTGACACAATGCTGAGCAGGAGAATGGATTAAAACTGAAGCTAAATATCTGAAAAAGCATTCCCACATCCCACCCATATTCTTGAATCCAGCAATCTTCAGCTGTCAAGAATTGAAAGGGGTTAGTAAAGTTACAAACATGACTCCCCCAGGGGCCATCTTGTGGCTTGGAAGCCTCTGGGGACACACAGGGAAAGCACCCGAGCCCTGTTTCAAGGTGGAAGAGGTGCTCTCTTCCACACACACGTACACACACACACACACGCACACATTCACGCCCACTCTAATCACACCTCAGCAGCCACAGAGCTGCCATCCCGCCCCCCTTTTCTATTCACTCCCTACCTGTGTATCAAAAACCCAGCAGGGCGCGAATCCTCCATTCTGTATAAAATAGTTGCTATTCTCAGCACCTGGGCCCCAGAGCCCGCACCACAGGATTCACCTATATACATATCCTGCTGCATTTACTGTGTGAGCTGAAACCCTGAGAAACCTCCTTCTCCAAGAGGACAGATGGTTTCAGAGACCCCGTGCCTCTCTCAACCCTGGAAGACAGAGACTGGCTGGTTAATCCCCATCTTCAGGCTGACTGCTGCAGTCTCATTCTGCCCAAGACTTGATGGGACTTCATGAATGGGTACGCAGAGGGGGCAAGCTAGTCTGCTCTGCAGTTGAGAATATTCCCCATGCTGCTGTGGCTTGGGAACCCCATACAACAGAACCATTCACTGGCAGTCTCCATGCCTTGGCCAAACAACAGGAAGGCACAGCCAAGCGGTGATTGGGACATGCTGGCCTCCCAGCCCACCAGACCAATTATCCCAAGAGGGAAAGGTCGGTAAAGAAAATACAAACGGTTAGTTGGTGCAAGTGATTGATAAGAGCCAATAGTTTATTTCCACTGCCTGGTCACAAGCTCACTCTGTGCCCATTCCTGCCTGCTGCTTCCTGCTTGGAGAGAATCCCCACGCTGCCTTCCCATCCTCCCCATTTGCCGTTACTTGGCTGCCAGTTCAGCTACCTTAAGTCTATCAGAAGGGTGACATTTTCAGTTCTTTTCCTGTCCAACTGCAGGGTACAGAACAGGCAGCCCTAAGTGCTGCTTTTTCAGTAAATTTTTTTTTCGATTACAAATATCTACCTAGGTTTGAAATGTTTTATAGAATAAGACAATATTCTTTTCAACAAACTTTAAAAAAAATGTACAGTTTTGTGGTTTGTTTCCACCCCCCTCCCCCACCCCTGCTTGCGTACCCTCCCCCCACCATCCCTCCCTGGCAGCTCAGCCCCACCCCGACAGCCCCTGTTTTCCTTGGTTGTGTTTTGGGGGGGTGCTGGCACCCCCAGATTCAGCTTCATGGCTGACTGGCGTCAACAGCAGGGGCTTCACCGATACCCCTGGTAACCACCGTAGTAGTTCCTGTAGTATCGGTCTCTGTCCTGGGGGTGGTGGTAGTAGTAATTCTGCCACTGGAAGAGAGGGAGAACCCCATCACCGGAAGCCGGAGCCAGCTGTGGAGGAAGGACGATGCTCACCCTACCACCCTCCATCGGCCCAAGCAGATACTCACATCCCGGTTGTACTGTCTGTAATAGTCCCTGTATCTGTTGTACTCATAATCTCGCCCATAGAATCGATCATAGTCTCCCCGGTATCGATCATAGAAGTTACGGTAACCCTGAGAAAGGAAAGAGCAGGAAAGGTCAGGGGTTTGCAGCCCCACAGCCCACCGTTAGCCCCTCTTACATGACATGTTAGCTTGACGGTTTATAAGCAGGGTCCATTTCCCCAGAATAGTCTTCCAGGATAAAATTAAATGGGCAAATCCCTACACCCTGAGAAAACAGCCCAAACCCCTCTGCTCCCCCAAGCCAGCAGGAATGGCTACCACGGCCCAGAGGGAGGAGCAGAGGAGAGCTGCACTCACCCCTCTGTTTCCAGACTGCCCCCAGTACTGCTGCCCGTAGGCCCGGTTGTCGTAGCCTCGGCGCTGCCCGCCCACTGGAAGAGAAATGGAGAGCGCGCTCAGACGGCTGGCATGGGGTCCTGGCTCCCCTTGAGTGGAAATTGAAAGGCTGGAGCCAAAGGCAACTCTGGGGGATCAGGAGGCCTGCTCTGGCCAGGCTCACACAATCTTAACCCGAGCACTAGCCAGGACTTTAAGTCTGAAGGGGGAAGGGCAGAGGAATGAATGCAAACACAGGAGAACCAAGCCACTTTGCTTTTGAAGCTCCCCAATTCCTGCAAAACATTTAAATGGCAAAAGGATACATGGCAGAGTTAGAAACCTAAGTAAAAACTGCCATTTGTGGAGTCACACTTTCAGCCCCAGGAGTCAGCTCAGGTATCAGAGCCCACACCCTTCCTATTCCGGGAAAGTGTACAGAAAGCATTGTTGCTAGAAGGCAGGAACTCTTGGCACTCCAGGGCATGGCAGTGATGTAGTTACACACATAGGCCACACTCACACATACACACACACGTAGACCACCCCCACCTCCACCAATTGCTGGGTAACACATTCACCTGCTCTATAGAGACAGGTTGATCCAAGACAAGGCAGCAAGCCAATCTGTGACAGCCTGACTTCACCAATCTTTTAGACTGGAACAGTGAGGCAGAGAATGTTCAGTGACAGCTAGACAGAGGGGAAGGCACAGTACCGCTTTTCAAAGGAAACTGAAAAGCAACTACCTTTTTTGGTTGACGGGTTATGGAAACAGCCCAAGACTGTAAAGGACACATGGAGAACGAGCCCCACCAGGAAGACACTTCCCTGGTTTCCTTGGCCTTCCCTGAAGGTTCTGGCGGTGCTTTTCACAAAGAACAAACCAGGTTGGGGCTGGCAGGTGCCCAGGACTCACCGTAGCCTTGGCCCCGGCTTCGGTTCTGCCGGTTGCGCTTGTTGCGGTTGTTGCGGCGGTTAGTCCGCTTCTCAGAGGGGGGCAGCTGCTTCCGGGCCTCTTCCCGGTACTTGGTGACAATGGGCTGGGCTTCCTCCTTCTCCAGCTCCCCGTAGGTCACTTCATCCAGGTAGTCGCATTTTTCAGGCAGCGAGTAGTTGGCTACAAGGGTAAGAGAGAGGCTTGTGTGCCTGAAAAGTGTATAGATGGGCAAGAACTCATCATGAAAACAACTGCAGGAAGCAAATTTCCAGCCGCTCCTCCTAACACGCTAGCTCCATCGGCTCACGATGAAGCCACCCCATTCCATGTTCCCGAGATTGCTACAGTCCTAGGCACAGAACTATCTACAAATTGCAGATTTCCAAGTTCTCCAGTTATCCAGACTAAAATAGCCGAGTTAAAATTCTCATCAGGACAGACTGCACAGAGGCTAAGGAACTGGAGAAGTTTGGGGGATGATTAGATAAGGTGCTGAAATTGAACATTTAAGAGAACTGTCCAAGCCCAAAGGCATCTACGCAGTGACACCTGACCACCTGTGCAGACTGGCCAGCAGCTGCCAGTCTGTGACCTCAGGTCAGAGGCTGAGTCCCAGGAGAATTTTCACTGTGGCTTTCGTTCTTCTTTTTTCTTCGAAATTTATTTATTTGAAAGACAAGAGTTATAGAGAGGGAAAAGAGATCTTCCATTAGCTGGTTTACTTCCCAAATGGCCACAATCACCAGGACTGGGCAAAGCTAAAGCGAGGAGCCTAGAACTCTGACTGGGGTCTCCCACATGAACAGCAGGAGTCCAAGTACTTCGGTCATCTTTTTTTTTTTTTTTTAAAGATTTATTTTAATCCCCAAAACAGATATACAGAGAGGAAGATCTTCCGTCTAATGATTCACTCCACAAATGATCACAGCAGCCGATCCAAAGCCAGGAACCAGGAACCTCTCTTCCAGGTCTCCCACATGGGTGCAGGGTCCCAAGGCTTTCCCAGGCCACAAGCAGGGAGCTGGATGGGAAGTGGGGCTGCCAGGATTAGAACCAGTGCCCATATGGCATCCAGTGCGTTTAAGGCAAGAACTTTAGCTGCTAGGCCATGGCACCGGGCCCCTGGGTATCTTCTAGTGCTTTCCAGCCACATGAACAAAGAACTGCGGCAGAAAGGGAACGACTCAGAGTAGTGCTCTTAGGAGACCCGAGCCTCACAGGCAGCAGCTCAACGCGTGCTGGACATCAGGCCTTCTCAACAATAGTAAAAGCAATACAGCCAACCCCGAGCTTCGTAAAGCTCAACAAAATTCCTCTGGATGTCACAGGAATGATGGATTGGCGTGGTTCATTCTGAATAAAGCTGGAAGATCCCAGTCACCAAAGGTCCCCCACTTGCGCACTGTCAGAACTCAAGGAGCTGGGGCACAGATGCCAGAGGAGAGGGCTGCTGCCAGACAAAGGCAGCATGGGGAAAATGACTCTCAAAGGAAGAGCAGGGAGAAGCAACAGTCACCATGGCCCCTTTGGCCTCCTGTGGCCCCGTGCTCTAAGATTTCCAGAAACCAAGATTCACCCCCAGTAAGGTTTTAACCTGAATCACATTAACTACTTCCATGTACTCTCCATTCCATGAAGGCCAAGTTGCACCTCAGTTACTTTCCTCTGTCCACAGTAGTGCCAAATATTCACCACAGATACATACTTAATGAACTGCTGACTGAATACAGCTTCTTCCCTAGCATTTTAGTGACCCTGTGGTCTGTCCCTTCACCTCTCTCTGTATCTTATCCATAACAAATGGAAGGACTTTGCTTTTCTGCTCACTCATATCCACTGAACTGCTCCTCAGGTTTACACTTTACATGCGGTGGGCTGTCGCGGGCAGGCCTCCACATGGTGCACCCTGATTTGGAACTAGACTCCCACCAGCAGGGTCCCAGCCCACCTTTCATCTCCAGCATTATGGACTCAGGCACATCGTCCCCTTCCACCTCCTTCCTCAGCTCCAGCCTCTTCTTCCAGTCCTCCTCCTTCGGGACCACTACCACTGCCTTCCGAGAGAAGGTCTTGAACAGGAGGAGTTTCCGCCGCTGGCCCGAGTTGTACACATTACACTAGGAGTGGAAGGAGGGACGTTAAACATTAAACAGTACCAAATTAAACCAAAAGATAGATCTTTCAGAACTATCACAATCTTAGGAAGTGGCAGGGTTAAGAACCCACAGTTCCAACTTTCCTTCCACTGCCCCAGTCAAGTGCTCCACCACGTGGGCCTCCCGTTCGGGGGAAGCACTCCTGAGGCACACTTCAGGAATGTCTAAAAGCATTACAGCCGAAAGGTAATGAGGTTTGAGAATTCTGTTCCTCAGCTCACAGTCTCTGCACAAATGGACCCCACCTTTGACTGAGCTTTTCTGGATTAAATGGATGTTAAGATTTTATCTCTGAACCTTCCTTCATTTTGAACAGTACCTGATCAAGGATGAAGTTCCTCTTTGTCCGGGAAGCAATCTGGACCAGTTTACTAAGGCACTGGGAGGCTTGCTGAACTAACAGATCTCGGCTTTTGGGGTCCATCTCTGGCTCCTCGGGCCCCTTCATCTGATAAGTTTGAAAACAAGAGAAACGCAAGGAGTAAGACACTAACTGGAAGCCCACAAGTCAGTGCCCACTCTGCAGCCGACTCATTCCTGTCCTCAGAGCTTTGAAAGTACTTCATTTCCCACAATAATCATTTTTAGCATCAACCTGAGTATTTTCCAGAGTTTATCTGCACAGCAGGGGAAAAAATTCCACATAAAACAAAAAAATTGATTTCTTTCTCTGGGGATCCCTTCCTCAGACACTTTGCTGAGAACGGGTGCTAGGCAGTTCCTCGATTCCCTCCCTCCCTGGGAACTCACCCTCATCTGATTGAGCACAGTCTCAGCCCCCAGGACATTGTATCTTTTCTCAGGATTTTCTTTCGTGTAGAGAACTCACCCTCATCTGATTGAGCACAGTCTCAGCCCCCAGGACATTGTATCTTTTCTCAGGATTTTCTTTCGCGTAGTTCAGTGCCCACTGAGTCTTTCCAGAGCCAGGAAGTCCCACCATCAGAATCACCTGCATTCATTACATTACAGAAAATGTTAACTAAGTAAGAGTCACATTTATAAGATGCAATTTGAGAACACTGTCCATGGCTGGATTGGCCCAGCATGCCCACACGCCGTTGGACACACCTCACACTCCTCTATGGTCTTGGGAGGGACCGCAGTGCGCACGCGCTCTTCAACAGGCACAGCGTGGATGAACACAAACTCTTCTGGCAGTGGGAAGAAAGGCGCCTCCTTCTGACCAAAGTTTAATTCTACAACACAATTTTTGCAGAGGACATGGGGTAGAAGCGCCCGGTCTGCCAGGGACTCCTTGCTGATCCGGAATGCCACACCAAGATTTTCTCCATTCTTGGAGAAGGAAAGTTCTATTTCTTCACTCTCAAAATTCTACAATAACAAAGGGCAAGAATAATTGTCAAGGGCTGGAGGTTGAGTAAATTTCACAATTTATTTGTTTTTACTCCAAACGCTGCAGAACACAATTAAACAAGCTATGCATAAAAAATACCAGACAGCAGTTGACAGGAAACAAAACTGAACTTGCTGCCTTCCACCCACTTCTCGCTATGGATCCACAACTTTCTGGAGCACTCACCGCGAAACAGCCAATGACATCATTCTCTCCAAAAGTCTGGCCAAACTCCTCAAACTGTCCGTTCTCTGCCTTTAGTCCTCGTCCATCAAACCCATAAGAAAATTCATCTTCACCTAAAACAGGCAACAAAATTTTGTTACTTTCAGGCAAACTTCCCATAAAGTAAGTGAAATACTACTACAGAGATTAAAAATAGTAATTTTTACCGAGCTGTGGACGGGAAAAATCAACAGACCACCCAACTCGAAGGAGAGAAACTTCTGTGCAGCCTTCTTTCATTGGGAGATTCTGGGTCACCTGGCAAAGTTAGAAAAGAAACTCTTAAGATACTCTGACTAAATCAAGAACAAAAACTAACAAAAAGGTCAATGTTCAAGCAACAACCATCAAAACTCAACACTGCAATGAGAATCATCACTAACTTAAGCCAAGGTCCCAAGGGTCTATCCGCTTGGCTCCTGGTACAAAGGTGATCGTTAAATCTTGATGTCTTTCTGGACTAATGAAATACTGATAGACAGGAATCCAGTACAATTTAGTGAATGAATGAACAAATGAATGGTCTCAATGAGCTACTACCTTGGCCTCGAAGCAGACTTTTCCTTTAGTTACTCCGTAAGTACTCCTTGCCCCAGACCAAAGGGTGGGGAACTTCTCTGAGAAAAGTGGCTGTCCCCCATAGCGGTCTTTGCTCACTTGGAAATGGAGATCAGAGGTATCTGTTAAGAAAAATGCAATCAGGTCAGAATAACACCCAAAGCTTGGATAAGACCAAGGCAGCACAGCTTGTCCAGCTGTCGGGAACGAACAATCTCCGAGCATTTTTCACGCCCTGAAGTCTTAGCCTCCAACACCACTTCTAGAACATTATAACCCCCAGTCTGTCTGCCTTATACATACACGTGTCCAGATTCACAACAGTCTGATCCTCCTCCTCATCTTTGGCCTCTTCTTCGGGGGGTGGTGGAGACTTTGAGCTATACACACAGGAAAGAAGAGCAAACACAATGTAACTGAAGCCTTTTGCAGGGGTCTCTGCATGACATTAAGTCCATTTAAAACTAACAGTGAATATCAAATCCCAGCAGACAGCTTCTTTCAACAAATGAGAAAGGGCAACAGGAGCTTCCAGGGCAGATTGCAGCTACAACTTAGGCACCCCTCCTTCCAGACTCTTCAATCAATATCAGATATGCCCTTTAAGAAGGGACTGTTTCCCTCACCGGCTGTGGTAAGCCTCCTCTCGGAATTCATAGTAAGCTCGGCCATGTTCATCCTTCTCATCCCGCTGTCTCTTTACCCCCCGCCGCTCACCATCTGAGCCTGCTGGTTTTGACTTTTCACTATCTTGTTCATCTCCTACAAAAAGGAGGGAAAGAAAATCAGCAGTTTTCATACTGGAGTGTAGAACAAGCTCAGAATCAACAGAAACTGAAGGGAGACCCGAGTTTCTGTCTAATCAAGTAGCCACATGAGTCCCACTGCATCCACAGCACCTTCGGCTTGGAGATGATCTTCCTGTCTGTCGCCGGGCGGGATTTCAGCGGGGTGGGGGTGGGGGGAGGAGGATGTATGGGCTACTGTCAGCAGCAGATCAAAATTGGGCAATTTTTGCATTCTAAATTTACCTACTTAAATCAGGTCAAACTGCAATAATTTCAGTATGACATTAAAAACCTTCACAGATTGATTTAAATTCTATCTTTGTCATATCTGGTTTTAATGTAGGCTAGGCATTACAGCTTCTAGATACAAAAGCTTCAAATGTTTCTGAGTTTGCCTGTCCTGTACTAAAATTCACAGCCTGCTCATTAGACACTGTAAAATACGTACTAAGTTACCATACTGTACCCCATATAAACATTATGTGTCCAAGAAATAAAAGTGTACAGCCACCCACTCTTGTACAGCCAGTGGACTCAATCAAGGGGATAACACACAGCTATGCTTTTATCAGGACCTTTTTATCCAAAGTTGCATAAACAAGCCAGGTAAGTCCCAAGAGACCCATACATAATACTATACCTTTACTGCACATAATTTGGGGCAGGAAAGTGTCATATATTTGGTAATTGTTTAGAAGACAAGAAAAAAAGTTTGGCGTTTTCCTTAAGCTTTTAAATTTATTGCAACACAGTAAAGCTCTTAAAATATTAATTTACTTAGAGTAGCTCTTTGTCCAACGACATATTTTAATCTCTTATTTAGGGTGCATATTCAGTCAAAGGCTACATAAAGGGATTTTTGTTCCAGCACAAAGGACAAAAAAAAATCTGCAAGTTGCCCGATCATTGTTAAAATCATGTCACTTTACTCAGCCGCGGGCCAAAACGTGCATTACAGACTGACAGCAAACGACTCCATCCAGCGAGACAGGGAGGTCCTGGAGGTGTCCCCTCCTCTGACAGGTACTGTTAGATCAGCTCCGACCTGAGTCCAGGAAGGTCACCAGAGGCCTGAGGCCATTTCACACATTGCCTTCCACAAGGCCGGGCGCCACATCCAGCAGGATCTCACTGCACCGACTCAGGAAGCCAGGAGCCTGACCAGTGGGCTGGTGCAAGCACACAGCCAGGTGCACGATACCCCCGGGCCACCACGCAGCACACGACTCGGCGCCCAAGCATGGCACAACCCCAAATGCAGCAACTGACATGTTCTGAAGGCACCCGGCTAAAACCTTCTCCACTGGTTAACTATTAAACCCTACACAGGCACGCCAGGGGCTGTCCCCTACTGCTCAGCCAGGACGAAGGTTAGGTTGCCCGGTGCTAGGGGATGGCTCAAGCATTTAGGAATGGGATTGTAACTGGGCACACTCGGAAGTTTACGGGTTGATATTTTTATGGTGAAAGCGAGCGAAAAATAATTTAAAAAAAAAAAATCAACAGTCGGGTACCCCAACGAGCCTGCAGCTGAGCGTAGCTGTGCAGGGCCCCGAAAAGCCCCTCGGCTCGCAGAAGGCGGGGTGCGAGGGGACGCTGCTCCACAGGTGCACCCGGCCAGCAGGGTGCACGCGGCCGCCCTCCCGCCCCGGCCAAGCCTCTCCAGCAGTGGACACGAGGCGTCGGCCCCGCGGCCAGCTCCTCACCCGGCTCCTCCGCGGCCTTGTCGCCGGGCGCCTCGTCCCCGCTGCGCTCCTCGGGCTCGTCTTCCTCCCCTTTGCCGGGACCCTGCTCTTCGCCACCATTGACCCCCCCTGAGCCGGCGGCGGCTGCCTCCGTCGCCTTTTCGGGAGCATCGGGCTCGGCCTCGGGCTCGGGCTCGGCCTCCGGCTCCGCCTCGGGCTCGGCCTCCATGGCTGCCGCCTCCGGAGGCTCTGGAGGCGGCTGCGCGGCCTGAGCAGGGGGTGACTCTTCGTCTTCGTCCTCAAGCAGCGCCTCCTCGTCCTCCTCCTCCTCCTCTTCTTCGTCGTCCTCCTCGTCCCCGCCCGGGCCGCCGCCCGACGCGGCCACAGGCCGAGGCTCCGCCTTGCAGGCCCCGCCGGGCCCGGCCCCGACACCGCCGGCCTCGTCCTCGAGCATCTCGGCGTCCAGCGCCTCCTGCAGCCGCTGCGCCAGATCCACCTTGAGGCCGCGCGAGTCCAGGCCCCGCCGCTGCAGCTCCGACCGCAGCTCGGTCACTTTCAGCCGCTTCACCTCCATCACCGCCGCCGCCTCCTCCGCCTCCCGCCGCCTCCTCCTCCTCCCCTGCGAACCGTCGACCGAGCCCGACCGCGCAGGCGCCGCCGCCGCCCGCCTCCGCCTCCCGCGCCAGGCCTGGGCCCGGGCGCGAGCGCACGCACGCACGCACGCCGGCCGCGCGCAGCGGGGTGTCGCCGGCCCGCTCCCCTCCGCGGCCTCGACTCCCCAAGACCCCACCACCGCACAGCACAGCCCGGGAAGCGACGGCCTCGACAAGCCCCTCGCTGTGAGCCGCGACCGCCTCCGGGCGCGCGCCGAACACGACGGAATTCCCGCCTCTTCCTCCCGCCCCTCCCCTGGCCTTACAGCCAATCACCACCCACCGCCGGACTGCGCAGCCGCAGCGGGGGTCTGAGCTGGCGGCGGCACAAGTGCCCTCGTAGCACGGAAGCGTGAGCGCGCGCGCGTCTTGCCGTACTTCCCGCTCTGCGCAGGCGCACGCGCGGAGCTGCGTCAGCGCACGCTCCGCCCACACGCTCCCTCCCGCCAACTGGGCTCCTGGTCTCCCTGGCAATGAAGGCCTGCGGGCCTTCCTGTGCGCGGGGCAGCAGGAACGCCAACTCGCAATTGCTTTCCTAAGCGGGAAGGCCGTCGGGAGCCAAAACAAGTGCCAGTCAACTGCTTAGTGCACCGGCCCCTCGGCTCAACGCCTCCAAGTCTACCCAGCAACAGAGGGCCTGGCCCCGCCCCCGCCGTTTCCATTGGCCAGCTTGAATCGCCGTCTGCCGTGGTGATTGGTCGCCTGCGACCGTGCGGATTTTTCTAATTGGCGCAGGCTGGTGGGGGATTTTTTTTTTTTCCTGGATTGGTCCGCTGGAGAGGCGGAGTCGTTTCTGCGGGATTACTTTTCTGGAGCCGCTTGTGATTGGACGCCGTGGCGTCGTGCGCGCGGCCGCGGGTCGGGGGGCGGGGGACCCCCAAACTGCCCGGAGAGCGGACCCTTTGCTGTCCGAGTAGCGGAGGAGGCCTGCGAGTGGGCTCCTGGGCGTGGGCAGCGGCCGGGGGCGAGGCGTCGGCGGCCACAGTGCTGTGAACCAGCGCCTGAGGTCCTGGTGGGGCCTGCCCACTGTGTGTGTGTACTGAGGGGGCGCTGGGCGCCCACTGACCTCGCTCTCCCTGCGTATAACACGGGTATCAACAAAAGCTGGTTGAATAAGGACTGCTAAGAGAGCGGTCCTTGCAGTCCGGCTCTGCAGTCTGGTGGTGGCGACTGTCCCCGCCTACTCCCTTGTACTTCCAGGTCGGGGAGGAGGGCTGGTCAGCCGGCGTCCGCACGCCCGCTGCATCTCCCTCAGAAGCACCTCCTGAGATCACTTAAACGTTGGCCTCAGGTTCCCTTTCGCTCCGTAGTTCCTTGAACCGTCGGGGATTCCGACATCCTGCAGGGGAGAGGAGGCTCCCTTCCCCGGGGAGAGCCCCCACCCGGGCCGAGGGATCTGTTCCCTCTGGTCCACGAGCTTGCAGCGAGGCATGGAGGCGCGCCTGCGGGAGGCTCGGCTGTATAAGGAGGAAGGGAACCAGCGGTATCGGGAAGGGAAGTACCGAGAGGCCGTTAGCAGGTACCACCGAGCCCTGCTGCAGCTGCGGGGCCTGGACCCGAGCCTGCCCTCCCCGATAGCTGACCTGGGGCCGCAGGGCCCGGCTCTCACGCCCGAGCAGGAGAGCGTGCTGCACACCACGCAGACTGACTGCTACAACAACCTGGCGGGTAAGAGCAGGGCGGGGGCGGGGGAAGGCTACGACAGGCGCCCCCGATGAAATCCACTTGAGCAGTCCACCGGCAGGGCTTCTCCACTCGCACCGGGAGGTGTGGATTTGTCCCTTATGATAAGGTTTCTTTGCTTCCTCAACACAGTTGGAGAAGGAAAGACAGCGTTTCCATCATCTCGTTCGTTCCCCGGCGGCTGCGATGGCCAGTCCTCATGCGTCTCCCGTATGAGTCCAGGAGCCCAAGCACTTGGGCCTTCCCAGGCACGCCGGCAGGGAGCAAGGCAGCTGGCACTCGTTACCAGGGCCCATGTGGGTGGGAGTGTTGCAGGTGCAGGCTTAACAAACAGTGTCACAGTCTAACTCCTGGGGAATCCCTTAGGACACAGCTTGTGCCCCCCTCCCCCTTTGGGGACCTGCCTATTCACATTACTGAGGTGGTTCCCACGGGACACAGATAACCTCAGGAAATTTTTCACCTCACAGAGAAAAACTGCACCTGTGGTGCAGTCGTCTCCTGAAAGGAAAATTGTTAGGTAGGGCACAAATGCCAGCTGCATTCCAGGGCTGGCAGAGCTATCCTTATTTTTTCTGTTTCCTCTACATCCAGCAAGTTGAATAACTAGTATCTTCCATCTGCCAGCGGCTAATAATCGGTATGATTAGGTTTAACTTGATCTAAGAAAGGAGACTTCTTAGGGTCTATTCTGTGCCGGGCAAAAGAGCAAACAGACTTATTTCACATGTGTTAAAACATTCTAACAGTACAAAGCCAAAGAAACTGTTAATGGTTTTTACACTAGGTAAAATGGTTGTTTTTTCAAGTGATTTAAGAAAAAAATTACAGGGCCGGGCGTGATAGCCTAGTGACTAAGTCCTCTTCTTGAATGTGCCAAGATCCCATATGGGCACAGGTTGATATCCTAGCTGCCCCACTTCCCTCCAGCTCCCTGCCTGTGGCCTGGGAAAGCAGATAAGGACAGCCCAAAGCCTTGGGACCCTGTACCCATGGGAAACCCGGAAAAAGCTGGGTTTGGATTGGCTCAGCTCCAGCCGTTACAGCCTCTTGGGGCAGTGAAAATCTTTCTGTCTGCTTTTCCCTGTAAGTCTGCCTTTCAAATAAATAAATCTTAAAACAAAACAAAACAAAAAAAAGTAGTAAATTGGCAAGTGGGAATAGTGAGTGCTGGATGCCTGCCCTGAAAATTGCTTTCCTGAGGGGACTCCAACAGCTGCACCCTTCGTGGGGTCACTCTAACCTGGCCCAATTTATTGGCCTCAGAACTCTGAAATTCATCTGCCGTGTTTTCCTCCTGCTTGGGGACTGGCACACTAGCCTGTGGAATCTCCCTTGCTCCTGTGGGATGGTGTGTGGCAGGTGGTCCCCACCCAGTCACTGGTTGTGAATGAACCTGTGAAGCCCGAGGCGGTGGGCGAGTTGAGTGCTGGAAATGCCTCGGGATAAACTGACCACTTGGTGGGGGTGTTCTCCAAGGCTGAAGCCGAAAGCCTGGAACCCGAGGTGTGTTTAAGGCTGCACAGTTTTGTTGTGAGGGAGGTGTGCTGGAGCTCCCGCCGAGGCACCCAGGAGGATGATGAAGGGCAGAGGCAGTAAGAGTCAGGATGCTTTGGCCAGTCAGCGGGGACTTTGTTCGCAGTTCCTACTTAGCCCACCTGGAAGCTGGAAGATCCGGGCAAGTTAGTTTATTCTGTAAACCTTGAATTCTTCATTCATTAAGAGGAGCTGGTGGGCCAGTGTGATAGCATAGCGGTTAAACTCCTTGGCTTGAACAACCTGGGATCCCATATGGTTACCAGTTCTAATCCCGGCTGACCTGCTTCCGATCCAGCTCCCTAGTTGTGGTCTGGGAAAAGCGGTCGAGGGCGGCCCAAAGCATTGGGATGCTGCACCTGTGTGAGATCCGGAAGAGCTCCTGGCTTCGGATTGGCTCATTTCCAGCCGTTGTGGCCACTTGGTGAGTGAACCAGTAGAAGGAAGCTCCTCCTGTCTCTCCTCCTCTCTGTGTATCTGCTATTGCATATCACTGATTTTGTGGTATGGATGGTGAGGTGGCACCAGAGTGTGTGTAACAAACACACAGCACATAGCCTGCAGTTTCCTCACACAAAATTGGGACCAAAACTACAGGACAAAAACAGTGGCAAAATGGGGTACAGAACAGTGCCTCAGGTGGAAGAGATGCCAGGAGGAAAGAGTGTGAAGCCAGTTACATGTAAATGGAGCCTATTCCAAATAGGTTTTTTTTGTTTGTTTTTTTGAAAGCTTTTTTAAATTAGTTCTTGTTTTTGTGTTTTATTGTCACTCCCCTGTTTTTTTTCTTTGAGATTTTATTTTTATTACAAAGTCAGATATACAGAGAGGAGAAGAGACAGAGAGGAAGATCTTCCATCCAATGATTCACTCCGCAAGTGACCGCAATGGCTGGAGCTGAGCCAGTCTGAAACCAGGAGCCAGGAACTGCCTCCAGGTCTCCCATGTAGGTGCAGGGTCCCAAGGCTTTGGACCATCCTCGACTGCTTTCCCAGGCCACAAGCAGGGAGCTGGATGGGAAGTGGAGCAGCCAGGACACAAACCGGCACTCATATAAGATCCTGATGCTTGCAAGGTTAGAATTTAGCCACCAGGCTGTCAACGCCGGATCCTTATTTCTCATTTTTACTTGAATGAGTTTATAGGGAGAGACAGAGATGTTCCATCTGCTGGTTCACTCCCCCAGTGCCTGTAGCAGTCAGAGCTGGGCTGATCTGAAGTCGGGGGCCTCCTCCAGGTCCATGTGGCTGCAGTGACCTAAGGATTAGGACCATCCTCCACTACTTTCCCATGCCATTATCTGGGAATTGGATCACAAGTGGAGTAGCTAGGACTTGAACAAATGCCCATATGGGATGCTCATGCCACATGCAGAAGATTAGCCTACTATGCCCACCATGGCACCAGCCCCTGTTGTGACCTGCTTTATGGCTGCACCCAACCGAACACTGCACACAGTCCAGGTAGACAGTCCACACGGAAGAAGATGGGGAGTGAAACCTTGTGCCTGGGGGATGGCTGCAGGGTTTGTGGGAAGACTAAAGGCCACCGGCTCCCCGTGTCTGACGTACAGCCTTGAGCTGCCCAGTGTTGGCTAGCCTGGTAAAGTCTCCCTGTTTTCATTGTAACTGTCCTATTAGCCTGCCTCCTTCAGATGGAGCCAGTGAACTACGAACGAGTGAGAGAGTACAGTCAGAAGGTGCTGGAACGGCAGCCTGACAATGCCAAGGCCTTGTATCGGGCTGGAGTGGCCTTCTTCCATCTGCAGGACTACGACCAGGCCCGGCACTATCTCCTTGCTGCCATCAGTCGGCAGCCCAAAGGTGAGCAAGGAGGGACAGGGAACCCTAAGGTGAGTGAGGCGGACGGGGGCAGGACCAGTCAGGGGTACGTGAAATGGTCGGTAGAAATAGCACCTGTTATTTTAATGTCTTGATTCTTTTTTGGAATATGTGATAAAGTCATATTCTTCAAAAAGTATAACACAGTATAAAGTGCATAAGCCTTCTGTCCCTGTGTTCTTTCATTACAGGAAAATAAGATTTTATTTTATTCTATATGTTTTCAGGAAGTACTTATGCTTAAACAGGCATAGATACAATATATATATCCTTAATACATACACAGCTGTGTGTGTGTGTGTGTGTGTGTCTATATATATAAACACTTTTCAAAAAGTTTGTGGAAAATTGGAGTTAAAAAGTTGAAGTTCCAGGCTGTGTTATAGCATGGTAAGTTGCTTTCTGTGGGGCTAGCACCTCATATACGTGCTGATTTAAGTCCTGACTACTTTTTTTTTTAAGATTTATTTTTTTATTTTTATTGGAAAGGCGGATATACAGAGAGGAGAGACAGAGAGGAAGATCTTCCGTCCGACAGTTCACTTCCCAGGTGGCCGCAACGGCTGGAGCTGAGCCAATCCGAAGCCAGGAGCCTCTTCCGGGCCTCCCACATGGGTGCAGGGTCCTAAGCTTTGGGCCGTCCTTGACTGCTTTCCCGGGCCGCAGGCAGGGAGCTAGATGGGAAGCAGGGCTGCGGGGATTAGAACCAGTGCCCATATGGGATCCTGGGCGTACAAGGCGAGGACCTTAACCACTGAGCCATCGTGCCGGGCCCTACTCTACTTTTTTTTTTTTTTTTAAGATTTTTATTTTTTGGCACGGTGGCCTAGGGGCTAAAGTCCTCGCCTTGAACGCCCCAGGATCCCATATGGGCGCCGGTTCTAATCCTGGCAGCTCCACTTCCCATCCAGCTCCCTGCTTGTGGCCTGGGAAAGCAGTGGAGGACAGCCTAAAGCTTTGAGACCCTGCACCCATGTGGGAGACACAGAAGAGGTTCCTGGTTCCCGGCTTCGGATTGGCTCAGCACCAGCCATTGCGGTCACTTGGGGAGTGTATCATTGGACAGAAGATCTTCGTCTCTCTCTTTCCTCCTCTCTGTATATCTAATATTCCAACGAAAATAAAAATCTTTTTTTTTAATTAATTTATTTTTATTACAAAGTAAGATATACAGAGAGGAGGAGAGACAGAGAGGAAGATCTTCCATCCAATGATTCACTCCCCAACTGACACAACAGCTGGAGCTAAGCCAGGAGCCAGGAACTCCCTCCAGGTCTCCCACGTGGGTACAGGTCCCAAGGCTTTGGACCATCTTTGACTGCTTTCCCAGGCCACAAGTAAGGAGATGGATGGGCAGTGGAGCTGTCGGGATTAGAACCAGCCCCCGTGTGGATCCCAGCGTTTAAGGCAAGGACTTTAGCTGCTAGGCTGCCACACCGAGCCCTGGCTGCTCCACTTCTGATTCAGCTCTCTGCTTATGGCCTAAGAAAGCAGAGTATGGCTCAAAGGCTTGGGCCCCTCCCTGTACCCAAGTGGGAGACCTGGAAGAAGCTCCTGGGTCCTAGCTTTGGATCAGCTCAGCTTTGGCCATTACAGCTACTTGGTGAGTGAGCCAGTGGACAGAGGATCTGTCCACTGTATCTCTTGCTCTGTGTAGATCTGCCTTTGCAATATTAGTAGATAGATAAATCTTTACCAAAAAAATAATAACAGTTGTTTAGAAGATAAGTTCATTTTCATAGAAAAAACATTCTGGAATCCATGTAGTACATGCATCCTTTTCAAACTTCACTTTTGAAGACTCCAGATACTTGATGGCAAGAAACATAAACAAAATGCCCACATTTATATCTTTATTAATACACAATGGCTTTGCCATTGGCCTACACTGATGAGACGTTACTGCAGTGCTCTGCTGGGGACCCCTCTGCTTCCAGCATCCAGTAACCACCCTACGTGTGAGTGCCAGAGAGGAAACCTTTTCCATACTGGAACAACCAACACAGGAATTCAATCTGTCATCCACTTTGTAACAGCTCTTTTGCCTTGAAAACAAAGTACCAAGTGTCAGATTCTCTCTCAGTATGCATGCGATTTATCTAGGTCATACCTGGGGTTCATTGAGCCAGAGGAAGCAGTGATGGCTATGGCCGAGGCCAGCTCCCAGCTGGAGAGTTGGCACACTGAGCATGGTCAGATCTATCCATTGCATGTCCCGTTCCAGCCACAAACTGAACTTTGAAAAACCCTAAGGTGACTGCCTTACTGTACACACTTGAAAAAGTTTATGAATAGTGAACTTAAAAGACGTGTGTTTTGGTACAGAAAAAAGCCTTGAAATGTATGTATATTAGAGAGGTCTGCAGAAAGTTCCTGGGAGTGGACATTTAGCCTGGCAGTTTAGATGCCTGCACTGGGGGCTTGTGTTGCGGTACAGCGGGTGGAGACTGCCTGCAACGCCACATACTGTATGGGCACCAGTAAGTTCTGGCTGCTCCACTTCTGATCCAGCTCCCTGTCCTCTGTGGATTTAGGATTTAGCCACTAGGCTATTTTGCAGGGCCCCCCAAAATATATTTTTTAAAATTAGTTAAAATTTGTTTGTTTGGAAAATCTGATTTATTGAGAAAAGGAGATACAGAAGGAAAGATCTTGCTGGTTCACTCCCCAAGTGCCCGCAATGCCTGGAGCTGAGCCATTCTGAAGCCAGGAGCTTTGAACTTCTTCCGAGTCTCCACACGAGTGCAGGGTCCTTAAGGCTTTGGGTCGTCCTCGACTCTCCCAGGACACAAGCAGGGAGCTGGGAAAAAGGTGGAGCAGCTGGGATAGGAACCGGCGCCCATATGGGATCCCGGTGCATGTGATTCGAAGACTTTAGCTGGTAGGTTATCATGTCAGGCTCAATTAAAAAAATTTTTTTATAATTTTATTTGAAAGGCAGAGTTGCAGAGGGAGACATAGATTGCTTCCAGTCTGTGGTTCACTACATGTTTGCAACAACCAGGATGAAGCTAAACTAGTTGTCTAGAACTCTGTCTAGAACTCCTATGTTTGTGGCAGGGATCCAAGTGTTGAACCAGCACATCAGAAGGCGGCTAGATCCGAAGTGCTAACCCAGGCACACCCGTATGGGCTGCAGGCATCTCAAGTGATATGTTCAGTGCTGTGCCAAACACCAGTGCCCGATCTGCCTTTAATTACGCTTTTCTGTGAGGTTTTTGAATTCTCCTTGTACATAGTTAAAGACATCTAAGGAAACCGAGTGGTAGAGTGTGCTGTTTCATCAGATATCCCCAACAGTAATGCCCTTTCAGTGGAAAATCAGCAACCAGCCTGGCCCTGGGTAGGGATTTTTAAAACTTAAAGTGGGGATGGGCATGTGGCACAAGAGGTGGTGGCTCCAATGCTTGGGTACCTACTCCTGCATGTCTCCTGGTCTCAGCATGGCCCTGTCCAGTTGGTGCAGGAGTGAACTAGTAGGTTGAAGAGCTTACATTTGTCTTTGGAATAAGAAAAAGAAAAACTTAGGACCCGGCACAGTTGCCTAGCAGCTAAAGTCCTCACCTTGAATGGTCCAGGATCTCATAGGGGTGCCAGTTCAATCCCAGTGGCCCCACTTGCTATCCACCTCCCTGCTGTGGGCTGAGAAAAGCAGTCAAAGCCTTGGGACCCTGTACTCACGTAGGAGACAAGAAGCTCCTGGCTTCAGATTGGCTCAGCTCCAGCCATGGCAGCCACTTGGGGAGTGAATCATCAGATGGAAGATCTTCTTCTCTGTCTCTCCTCCTCTCTGTATATCTGACATTCCAATTAAAAAAAAAAAATCAATCTTGGGGCACGGCCTAGCGCCTAAAATCCTTGCTTTGAATGCGCCAGGATCCCATATGGGCGCCAGTTCTAATCCCAGCAACTCCACTTCCCATCCAGCTCCCTGCCTGTGGCCTGGGAAGCAGTCGAGGACGGCTCAAAGCTTTGGGACCCTGCACCTGTGTGGGATACCCAGAAGAAGTTCCTGGATCCTGGCTTTGGATCGGTGCAGCACCAGCCATTGTGGTCACTTGGGGAGTGAATCATTGGATGAAAGATCTTCCTCTCTGTCTCTCCTCCTCTCTGTATATCTGACTTTCCAATAAATAAATAAATCTTTTTAAAAAATCAATCTTTAAAAAAATTCAAAATGAAAAAAAAAGTTCAAAATGATAGTAATGATATTTACTGTTGCAGAGACTAATTAGGATATATCCAGATTTTGGAAATGAGAAAAGATGGGAAGAGGTTGGCATTCTTCTCCTGCCCTTGGTGTGACTATACTCTAACTGCCTCTTTCTTGCCTTTTCATCCACCTTCCAAGATGCCAATGTCCGGCGGTACCTGCAGCTGACACAGTCAGAGCTCAGCAGCTACCATAGGAAAGAGAAGCAGCTGTACCTGGGCATGTTTGGCTAACGAAGCCCAAAGATGTTCCTGTCTCTGAACTGAGATGGACCGCCGAGGTTCATCAGTGGATGGACGCGCACACCCAGCCATGGGACGCCTGAGCCTACACATGAGAGATGTGCCCTGGACCTCCGACCCAGGTGGATTTCCATTTGGGTTAACAATGTGTAATCTATGTCTGGGTTTTGTTTGTTTGATCCTTCTGTGTATCTGTTTGTATATTTTCCTTTTGGGGATATTTTCCTTGAGAAATACAATCAGAAAACATTGATCCACTGTGGCGGAATGAGATTTAGATCAGGCATCCTTTAATGATGGATATTGCTGGATGCATTCATCTGCAGGGTTCAGGGTTTGCAGAGGGTCCAACAGCAAGGATAAGCAGAAAAAAGTTTCTATATTTTCTCAAATGCCCAAACCCAAACTAGAAAGTATACCTTTTTGAAAAAAATCAGATGATTATAAATTGGGCCCAGTGTATTAAGATGACAGATTTTATAATTCTTCAACTATAATGCCAAAAAAGAAAAAGGAAGCATAGGAACATGTAACATAGAAACAGTAGCAAAAGCAAGCAGAACAAAAGCAAATGTGCTTTGTGCCTCTGTCCCTGAATTCTGCGAGAGCTGAGTTCCCTACCGAGGAGAGAACAGGGAGGAAGGGCTAGTCCCGCTTGCTGCCTGTGAATCACCCGTGGGGCCTTGGGAGCCCAGGTGGCCTCGGGTGCCATCGGTGGCGCCAACACGGACCCCATCAGCTGGAGCTCCTTTGCTGTTTCATCCTGCACCTTGATAATGCGGTAGTAAGCATGTCTTTAGTCATCCTGCAGCCACAGGAGAGAGTTCAGCTGAAAAAGAACAAACTACCCCAAGTGCACGCAGAAACCCTTAGGCTTTTCTCAATATCCATCTCTCTTCCCAGTAGGCCAGACTCCCTCCGTTCCTCTCCGCATCTTTAAACAGCACAGCCATCAGCTTAGAAAAAGTCTTTCTGCCAAATCTTAGAGTCCCAAGAACAGAACTGCCAAACAAGAAATCTCATACTTGTCTTCGGGCTTCTTAAATTGCTCAGCTGCAGCCTTGTTGGCTCTGTTGTTACTGTGGCTTCACGTTTTCTTTGCTTTTGGCTTGTTTTGCTTTCGGATCTTTTATTTCAAAGACTTGATGTTACAGTGAGCTATCTTCAGTGAGGAAACAATTAAAGCATTTTAAAATGCATCTGAGAAATGTATTGCACTAATGTTTTTATTAGCATTACTAAGAGGACAATCAGGCGTTCGGATTTGATGCTCTTTGAAGCAGAGGATCGAGAGCGACTTGTGAAAGAAGTTTCCCATGTTAAAAAGAAATCAGATGGGCCGGTCCCTGGGAGCCTCTGTGAGAGGAACAGCAGGAGCTGTGGAAATAAGATCCCAGCTCTGCTGACATCGTCCCACAGATGAACCAGCCACCGTGCTCGAAGTTGGTTCCGATTGCTGTTTTAGGCCCTGCAAGTGACTGCCTGCCACTCGGCGTGATGCGCTGCGTCTGGCGAAGTGAGAGTGAGAGTTCCTCGGGAGACTCCTGTGGTAAGCAGAGCCTCTTTAGTGAAGTTATCACAGTGCCACACGTGATGGGAGCCCTCCCTGACCAACCATCCAGACACACTAGACACACACAGGTATGCTTTGTTTTCATGAACACAGATTTTAAGCCAACTGATTTTTTTTTTAAGATTTATTTTATTTGAAAGGCAGGTTACAGAGAGAGGGAGAGTCTGAGACAGGTCTTCAGTGCACAGGCTCACTCCCCAAATGGCCACAGTGGCCAGCCAGGGTTGGACCCGACCAACGTGAGGAACATTCCCACATGAGCAGAGGCCCAAACACTTGGGCCACTTCTGCTGTTTGTCAGGCACATTCGGAGGGAGCTGGTTGGGAAAAGCAGCAGCCTGAACTTATCACAACACCCACATGGCAACCCACAACACTGCCGGTAGCAGCTTACTTTGCTGTGCCACAACCCAGCCCTGGGTTTTCTTTTAAATTGAGACATAGCTCAGGCCATAAAAATCCGATCTTTTGAAGGTAGAAAGAAAAAGAAACTTCTTCCACCTTGTAGTTCACTACCCCAAATACCTGCCATCTTTCAGTTGGATCAGGCCAAGGCAGGAGCTGGGGACTCCATTTTGCTTTCCATCATGGGTGTGCTCGAGCCAGCATCTGCTGTCTTGGAGGACGCACATCCGCCTATGACTGGAATCTTCAACAGATGCAGGACTTGGAGTCCCAGCACCCCAGTGGCATCACCCACTGCACAAAAGCCCATACCTTCATGAGAATTATTTTTGAAATGACTGATTTTTATTAGAAAGGCAGCTATTAGGGGAGAGGGAGAGACAAAAATATCCTCCATCCAATTGTTCACTCGCCAAGGGCCACAACGGCCAGAGCTGCGCCTATCTGAAGCCAGGAGCCAGGAGCTTCTGCCAGGTCTCCCACGCAGATGCAGGGTTCCAAGGCTTGGGCCGTCCTCAACTGCTTTCCCACGCCATAAGCAGGGAGCTGGATGGGAAGTAGGGTAGTCCTGATACAAACCAGCGCCCATATGGGATCCAAGCAGATGCAAGGCAAAGATTTAACCACTAGGCTATTGTGCTGGGCCCTAAGATGGTTTGAGAAGTAGAGAGCTGCCCCAAACAAGTCCACTCATCAGATCCCAGTGGCCACCAGATCTGGAAGCCAGAGACTCCAGTCCATCTTCCATGTGAGTGGCAGGAGCCCCATCCCTTGGGGCCATCTTTGCCAGCCTCCCAGCAGGACACTGCATGGAGTTGTTGGAGCCATCCTAACCACCAGGCCCAGTGCTGTGCTTCTCAAAGGCAGCTGGACCTGCTGGTCACTACTCAGAACAGATTTGCTTTTTTGTATCTTGCCTTGTTTCATGAAGGAATTAAGGCAGCTATACATTCGCATAAATAAAATGTAGAAGCTATTTGAAAGATAAACTAAGTTATTCCAACACAAGGCCTGGGTAAGCATACAGGGCACCCTTGGAGCAGCACACTGTCGGGCATCATCCGTCTTTGCTCCCTATGGTGCCAGTTAAGGAGTTCTCCTTGGCCAGTTCTGCCTCCCTCCCGTATCTCAGACATAGTGCCTCATAGTAAGAATTAAGACTCAAAAGACATTCAGGAAACGAACTTGCCCTCGTATTCTAACCTTTCTTGGAACGCAGGGAGCCAGCTTGTCCTCCTTCCCTCAGGCTGGAAGATCTTTGTGAACTTCCAGAGCTCTCGTTTCTCACCCCACAGCACTCCAAGGCCACGTTTAAGCGCTGTGCCTGCTTGTCAACAAGCATCTGTGTGACTCCGTACACATAAGAACCTCTCCGGACTTTTGTCATCTGCTGGATTGAGGGGTTGAACCAGGAGACCCTCTCGGCTGGAGTTTCCTGCCTTAGCTTTCACAAGTGTCCATTTCCATGCCACCGCAGGCCCTCAGCTTACTCCAACAGTCTACCACCGAGTGGCTGAAATGGTTCATGCCTTCCCAGTTGCCTTCCAGTTCCAAAGACCTCAGTTCTCATTTATGACATGAAGGCCAAAATATTAAGTCATCCATACAGTACCTGTTGCCTGAAGCAACCAACGGCCTTCCCGTGTGGAAGGCAGAGGGAACGAGGGAGCAAAGCCAGAGAAGGGCAAAAACTCCAGTTAACTGTCCTCATATTTTACACCAGCATGCAGTGTGTGATCACAGCCAGGTTCAAATCCTGATTTACCCCTTAAATTCATTCTGCAATTGTAACCAAGTTAACTCTGGAGTTTTGAGTCTCAAGTTTGTTGAGGACAGAGGGGTGGGGGTGAATGTTAATACCCCAAGACCCCACAAAGTTGCTGAGGATTAAATATTAATCTGAAGTGCTTAAGACAGAACACAATTGCAACACTAAGCCATAATTGTGTAAGATTCCCTAGTTGGCATCTTTCCCTGAGTTTCCCTTGCCCTCTAACTCCCTTCTTTCCTGCTAAGCAGGCAGATCCCCACTCACTACGCCAGGTACAGATGTCACATTTCTAAAAGAGTTAGAAGTAAGAGGCATGCAGATTTGTGAAAGAGACCAGCCAACACACCAATTCAAAGACATACTTTTTCGCTGCTAGCTTTATGTTTCCAAACAGAGTTGAGAAGGAATCAGCCCTCGGAAAATGCCCCACACGCACTTGCAAAGGGCTGAGCCTTTCACTCTGCCCTGTACCATCCTGCTTGTCTGGGCAAAGAAAAGGATAATAAACTTCAAGCTGGGCACAACCATCATTCCATCACTCAGCAGGAGTGAGGCCACATGAGGGTGCGAGTGGGGGCTTCCATCACCTCATCACCACATGTCAGTTTTTGGGGCCAAGCACAAAATCTTTAGGTGGCCCTCCAGCACCGCTGCTCTGTCTGTCTGCTGTGGGGGAGCCCGGGAGGGGCTGCACCCCGAGGATGCAGCCAGCCTCCGGGTCCGGCTTACTGCGTTTGGCCAGGTCCTCGTTGTGCGCCTTGCGGATGTGGCGGTAGAGGTCCCCTGACTGCGTGTAGCTGCGCAGGCAGTAGCGGCACTCATAGGGTCGCTCCCGTGTGTGCACGGTGGCGTGTCGCCGCAGCGTGTAGGAGCACGAGAAGGTCTTCCCACACGTCTTGCAGGTGGGAACGTCTTCAGTAAAAACGCCAAAGCTCCCAGGAGTTGCTTCGTACTCAGAAGGCGGGTAAAGTGGCTCATGCAGGGTTGGAGGTGCTGGTAGGGGCGAGGTCACTAGGCCGCGAGGATACTGCCCTGGGCCCGGCAGCAAATGGTAGGGTAGATGAGGCTCGGGAGGAAGGAAGTGGTCGCTGGGCCCCACCTCTGCCAGTCCTGCTGCCCCTGGCTCCTCAAAGGCCTCTGGCTGGGAGGGCTGTGCACCATAGAGGGCTCCTCCAGAGGGGAAGAGTCCTTCCGAAGGATCCTGGGGCTGTCCTTCTGACACATCAGTCTCCTCATCAGAGATCACAATGGCCTCCACTTTGACCTGAACCAGCTCAGCCTCAGCTGGAGCTGGAGCCTGGACTGGGATTGGAGCTGAGACTGGGCCTGGGGCCGGGGCCGGAGCTGGAGCCTGAGCTGGAGCCGGAGCCGGGGCTGGCGGATAGAAACCTGGCAAAGGTCCTCCAGGATCCCTCGTTTCCACCACCCTCAGGCTCTCAGGGCCTACATCAAGAGATGTAAGGGGCTCCACAGAGACTGCTGGGAGCGCAGGAAAGTAGCTGGCAGGAATTGTCTCGGTGGAGCTACTGGGGCTGGCCAGGGAGAGGTCAGCCACTGGTGGCGGAGGTGCCCGCAGATGCGATGAGTCGACCTCCATGCCAGGCTGTGTGGTGTCAGCCCCACCAGGCAGGGGCGGCTCATCTGGAGGACGGACATTGGGTGAGGGCACAGCAGGGTCCTTCCATTCCTCTTTGCCCCAGTGACCTGATGTCTCGGCAGATGCCAATGCCGGCTGCGGGCCGCGGGCGGTGCTGGACAAAAACTCCAGACTAGGGGGCTGGGAGTTGGGCTCCTCTTCCTTCTTGGTACTGTCTGCCTCCGTCAGGGCCCGGGCCTGCAGCCGCTGTTTACACACCTTGACGATGTCATTCATGTGCAGGTAGCTGGCGGCTGCCAGCACATCCTCCAGGGGGGTATCCCCTCTGAGTGCCAGCTGGCCTGCATACATGAAATCCAGGAGCAACCCAAAAGCAGGGGCTGTGACGATCTCATTGTGAATACACACCAGATCCCTCTTGTCCAATTCCCGCTCCTTGTAGAAAAGCTGGAAGAACGGGCTGCAGGAAGCCAGCACTGCTCGATGGGCTAGGAACTGGGTGCTGCCCACCATCACGGTGCAGTCGCAAAGGAAACCCTGGGATTGCTGCTCACGGAGGCTCTGGAGCAGCTGTTGACTGTGTTCTGGGAACTCCATGGCACCCCAACACAGGGCAGGATGGGACCCCGCCAGCCGCTCCCTAGGAAGACAGGACAGGGAGTTAGGGCAGAGGAAACTCCCCGGAGCCCTTAACGTCAGCCCTTCACCATCGCTTGCCACCCCCGATCCCCAGACACTCGCCTAAGCACAGACCCTCCAGTTTCCCAGGTCACACTCCAAGATCTCCTGTTGGCCCCGCCCCCTCGGCCTAACCTTAACAGGCCCCGCCCCCTCCCACAGCCCGCCCCCGGAAGTCCCGCCCTCCTGGCGAACCTCCGCTTCCTTGATGCCCACCCGGTAGCTTCCAGCGGTTCCTCCGCCTAGGAGTCTCTTCCGTTCGCAGGCCTTTTCGGACGGTGGCTCCACGCCACACTTCTGGAACTCCCTGAGCTTCTCCTTCTCGCATTCCAGGAGCTCCAGGACTGCAAGGGTGGGAACTAGCAGAGAAAGCTGGTCCCTCACCCACCACCCAGCAGCCACCAGGCGAGCTCCGCCCCTTCCCACCTCCTCAACTATGATTGGTTCAGGATTGCCCTCCCCCGTCACGGATTGGCCCAGCAGGCTCTAGCCCGCCCTCCACGCCTGGCGTCTCTAAGTGGATGCTCACGGCCATCGCTCAGACAACCAGGCACCGGATTGGTTGTCGCCCCTGTCTTAAATGTTTTCCTCCTAGTCCCGCCCTCTTTGCCTCCGAGCCCCCGGCATTGGTTGAGCAGATCCGTCTACCTGCGGCCTCAGGTGGGCGGGGACGGGGTGTGGTGAACTTGGGACCTGATGCTGCAGGTGGGGCGTGCGGTCAGCGCTGGCGCCAAGCGTGCCGACTGAGGAGCACACACTCCCCGCTGTGGTACCCTGGCTGCCCTGGGCTCACGTCTGGCTCCGTCCTAACCGTCGCCCGCAGTCGCGTCTCTGAAACGCCCGGCCTCAGGAGGGTCCCACCCTCGCGGCCAAACTCCACCACACCTTCCTGACCCCTGCTTCTTCCAGTTGATTGGTTCTGGAGCCACTGGTTCAGCATCTGCAGCTATGAGTTCCCCACAACTGGTTCTGGAACGCATGACCTAAGCTAGGACCAAATGGCATGCAAGCAACGGGGGAGATTTCGTCTTGTGTGCGTGGTTCGACTTAACCAGTGCTGGAGCCTGAGGACTCCCCCTAAAATACTGCTTTCCCGCACCGAGAAGCAGTCATAGGTAGCTGATGCTAAGACAAAGAATTCTTGGCAGCTTCTTGGAAATTGGCCGTCATCCTGCCCGGGATGAAAGTCCCTTCTCAGGTGAAGGGAGCGGAACGCTTACCAGGTGGCTCCCTGCTGGAGGTTAACAGACCAAGAAGGACAGCCAATATGAGGACGTTATATGCTTGTTACAGTGGACACCCAGAACAAAGAGGACTCTGTCTCCATCTCCCATGTTGCAAGCTTAGCAGGATGACTTAAAGGAAAAAAGGGGGCCCGGCACTGTGGCCTAGCAGCTAAAGCCCTCGCCTTGAAAGCACTGAGATCCCCATACGGGCCGGTTCTAATCCTGGCAACCCTGCTTCCCATCCAGCTTCCTGCTTGTGTCAAGGACGGCCCAAGGCCTTGGGACCCTGCACTCACATGGGAGACCTGGAAGAAATTCCTGCTCCTGGTTTTGGATCAGCGCAGCACCTGCCTTTGTGGTCACTTGGGGAGTGAATCATTGGACAGATCTTCCGCTCTGTCTCTCCTCTTCTCTATGCTGGGGTCGGTGCAGTGGATGTGGGGGACACAAAGGTGTGAAGAGTATTGTTCCATTGCAGGCAGGGCTGCAAGGAACTTCCCACTGTATGGCAGGGCCCAGCGGATGTCTCTACAACCACCTGAATACAGCTCCACCTTCCTTTTGCATGGACACTGGGCCACCCTGCGGAAGAATTCTAATCCATTCAGCCACTGTTTGCTACTGTGGAGTTGGCTTTTTACTCAATGTGAGCTTGGAGGTTAATGTCCATAACGATGTCTTGCAAAAGGGTCTTCTATTATTCATACTGTCTTGGCTATCCCATTGACCTTATGCTAATCAAGGGACCTGTGTTTAGGGTTTCACTCTTTCCTCAAAGCTTTAGGTTCTCCTTAGAATTGTAGCAGGAACTTATAGAGTTTTTTGGTGAAACAAATGGCAGAATTATTCTTGGATACACCCACTTGACCATGACATCAGAAGTCTGTGCCAGGGCTTGTGATTGCTTCTGTATAAACAAAGGGACAGCTTTCCTGCATTGTCCATTTTGATCATGAAATCGTACTGGTCCATTTCTTTCCTCTTTACGCCTCACTCACGCACCCTTCTTGAATTCCGAACTCAGCTGGAGCTGGACTCCGGCATCTCTGTATATCTGACTTTGCGATAAAAATAAAATAAATCTTAAAAAAAAAAAAAGAAAAGGATAAAAAGGTAGCAGTGGTAACCGGGGAGGAAGTAAGGGGAAATGACCATGCAATTCGTAGGCAGCTAGTTAATTTTTTATTTTATTTTCATTGGAATTTTATTTTTCATCAGAATGGCAGATCTGCAGAAAGAAGAGAATCAGAAAGATCTTCCATCTGCTGGTTCACTCTCCAAATAGCCGTAACAGCAGGAACTGAGCCGACCTGAAGCCAGGACCCAAGGGCTTCTTCAGGTCTCTTACCCAGGTACAGGGTCCCAAAGCTTTGGGCCATCCTCTGATGCTTTCCCAGGTCACGAACAGGGAGCTGGAAAGGAAATGGAACAGCCAGGACATGAACCAGCATCTATATGGGATGCTGGCAGCTAAAGGTAGAGGATTAGCCTGTTGAGCCACAGTGCCAGGCTCCAGCAATTTTAACGTTTACAGTGGTTGTGTTTAACAACCAACTGACAAGGTCCCTGCTGTGTGAGCTAGCTCTTGCTGTGCATGCCTAGCTGGTGCTTTCCACTATCCACAGGTTGGATTTCCTGTGTGTGGAGGCTGACCTGGAAGAGGAGAGAGGAGGGGTTGGGGCTGTTGCGCACATTTGTTCTCCTTGCTATGTCCTGGGCATGTAGGATCCCTGGGAAGTCTTGGCTGGCTCGGTTACAGGTGTGCCAGCACTCAGAGGGCACGAGGAATCTGCTGTGACAGCAGGGCACATCAGAGAGTTTGCTTCAGCTCACATAAGCTCATCTGCCCATGAATCAAGCTGATGGGGCCTCCTTGAGGCAGTGTTTATCAGTCAGGGGCTCAGGAGGAGGCAGCTGGTCCACTTACCCCGGCTCACTGAGGGGCATGTCATAAGGGGACTATCTACAGCTGTGTGGGCAGAGCTGGAAGAGACAGGCGCTCCGCCCTTCCTGGAGCTCCCCTGTGTGTGCTGGCAGGGAAGGGGAGGACGGCGTGATCAGAGGTTGCACCAGGACAGTTGCCACATCAGGAAGGAGCATCTGCGCTTGAGTCCTGAGCTTGGCCGCTCCAGCCCGACAGGTGCAGCGCTCAGTGGTGTCCTTGAGTGACTGTTGAAGGAATGAGAGCGTGAACACCTGCCTGAACACGCAGTGTGGACTGCGTGAATGTCTGTGAGCGGGATCTAACATCTGAATGACACCTGATTCTGATTCTGGAGGACTGTGACACTCTGTAGACTTGGGATCACGTCTGTCAGTGGGCAGGGTTTGCAATAAACAGTAAAGTTTGTCTCCTGGGTTACTGTGGAAGTTAAATAAGATGCAAATAGCTAGACAACAAGCCATGCTTTAAAAGCTAAATTAATGGGACTCAGTGTAATGGCTCAATGGCTAAAATCCTCACTTTACAAACACCAGCATTCCATATAGGCACCAATTTGTGCCTGCTGGTGGCCTGGGAAAACAGTAGAGGATGGCCCAAAGCCTTAGGACCCTGCACTTACATGGAAGACCTGGGAGAGGCTCCTGGCTTCAGATTGGTTCAGCTCTGGCTGTTGTAGCCACTTAGGGAGTGAACCATTGAATGAATAACCTGTGTTCTCTCTGTAAAATCCGCCTTTCAAATTATTATTCTTGAAAGATTTTTAAATTTTATTGGAAAGGCAGATTTTACACACAGAAGGAGACAGAAAGATCCACTGTCCACTTGCGCCGGGCCTGACAAAATACTTTTTAATTATTAATATGTTTATTTTTGATGATTTTTACATAGTTGATTAGCATGATTCAGGTCAAGTGCTACAGGAAGGTGGGTGAGATCACCATTTCCACATTCTCTTTTTTCTCCTTCCTGTTTCTAGGGGAAGGAGAGAGACAAGGAAAGAAGCCACATCCAGCTTCCCAAATGCCGCTGCACCCTGGGATGGAGGACAACCATCTGACACTACTCCAGGGTCCCTGATGTGGGGCATGCTCGAAGGTTCCTGCTCAAGAGGTTTTAATGATTGTCATCAATCTCGCCACTCCAAGTATGATGAAATCTCTCCAGAACCTACTGGTCGACAAAGTCCACCTTAGAGTCTCTATTTGCCCAGGAGACACACTGCCAACAATTAGCTGGGGTAGTTGATCAATTTGTTTTGTCCTCCAGCAGACTGGTCCAGTCTGTCCTACATCCCATTCAGTTCATACATGTCAATGGGCATTGAAACCTAGTTCAACCTAATCAGTCCCACTATTCAGCCCACACATGTGCTGGCGGGTGCCACTCTGTGCCTAGCCATGCCTGACCCAGTCCTGGTTTTCATGCTCACCAGTGGGAGTGGCAACCCAGGAGGAAGGTGCCTACAGTTTTCCTACTAGGCCCATGCCCACTCCTGGATCATGCACTCTCCTGGTGGTTCTGCATTTTAACTTGACAGAATTTACCCTACCCCTGCCCCATGCAAGCATATGCAAGCTGATGCTGCAGCAAAGCCCAACTAACCCACACCCACTCTGGCTTATGCAGATAGCAGAAGCAACCCTTAACCCAACCTGACTTTCCCCTGATTCAGCTCACATGAGGCCAACAGGTATTGTAGCCCTTCCCAACTTGGTCTGTCCCCACCCCACCCCATGCTGTCCAGTGTATGTGGTGGTCCAGCAGGGAAATCCTCCACAGCCCCCCTGCTGGCTTTGCCCCCTTCCCCCTAGTTAGCTACTGTGGCCCAGTCTGGCATGGGCTGCCAACCTCGGCATTTGCCAGTGTGTGTTGTAGCCTTGCTGGGCCCGGCCTACCCCCATTCCAACTCACGCTGGTGGAGGCTACAGCCTAGCCCAGCCCAGCCGGCCCCCAGTCCTGGCCCTCATGTGAACTGGCATGTGACCCAACCCTGCTCAACCCACACTTCATTCTGGTGCTTGGATTCACCAGTGGGTGATAAGAACTGGCCCTGCGTGGTTCACCCCTGACCTGTACCAAATGTATGCTGGTGGATACCATTATCTGGCCTGGTCTGGGCTGGGCTGCTCCCTATCATGGTTCTTTTTTTTTTTTTTTTTTTTCTTAAGATTTATTTATTTATTGGAAAGTCAGATATACAGATACAGAGAGGAAGATCTTCCGTCCGATGATTCACTCCCCAAATGAGCACAACGGCCAATGCTATGCCGATCCAAAGCCAGGAGCCAGGAAATTCTTCCAGATCTCCCATGTGGGTGCAGGGTCCCAAAGCTTTAGGCTGTCCTCCACTACTTTCCCAGGCCACAAGCAGGGTGCTGGGTGGGAAGTGGAGCTGCCAGGATTAGAACCGGCGCCCATATGGGATCCCGGCGCGTTCAAGGCGAGGACTTTAGCCGTTAGGCCACGCCGCCGGGCCCCCTATCATGGTTCTTGCACTTACCTACAGGCACTGTGTCCCGACAGAGGAGTTCTCCAAGCTCCTCTATCAGAACCTCTCCCAGGGCCAGATCTCACGCATACTGTTGGGTCCATGAGCCAGCCCTGCTTAGTCCACCTCCTGTCCTAGCAGAAATAGTGGCCTTTTCTGACTCGCCTCCAGCCAATCCAGTTTTTACTGTTCGGTATTACTAAGCCCAGCCAAGCCTGGTCCACACCCAGATACACATAGCTCAGCAGAAGCAGAGAGCTAGCCCAGCCTGTCCTACACCTACCCTGGTTCTCGTGGGCACGAGTGGGTTCTGAAGTCTAGCCCAGTCTGGTGCACCCCAGACTTAGCCCATACTTGTGCCTAGGGACACTGCAGCCATGCCTAGAGCAGACAATAGCCCCTGCTCTGACCTTCACACTCACCAGTGGGAACTACAACCCAGCCAGGATGTCCCCTTAGTTCCCAGTCATAGATCTTTTGCATGCCAGTGGCTGCTGTGACCCAGCTTGGCATAGTCCCTCATCTGTCTTGGCCTTTGCCTTTGATTGCTCTAACCTGGCCTGACCTGGCCTGCCCCCAATCCCAGCTCTCACAGATGGTGCTGTAACCTGGCCGTGCTCAATCTGCTCCCATCCCTGGCTCATGAAAACCTGCAGATGTGACAGCCTAGCCCAGCATGACCTGTGCTCCATCCTGATTTCTGCACTTGCCAGTGAGCTAAGGTTTGCTCAGCCTTGTCAGGTCCGTCCCCTTCCAAAACCAACCCATACATTTTCCATCACTTGGAGCTACCTTGTCCAGCTTGCCCAACTCCCAGGCCTGGACCACATGCTCACCAGCAGGAGTTATGACCCACTAGAGGAGTTTCCCGTGTTCCCGCACTCAGTCCACTCCCAGATTAAACCTCATGCATGCCAGCAGGTGTTAGGCGCTTGTTCAGTATAGCGCACTCCTCCATCCTGGCCTAGAATGAGCTGGTGAATGTTGTGGCCCAGCCTGCCCCATACTCTGTTTTAGGATGCACATGTGGGTGCTGCAGCTTGCACCTGCCCAGACTGCTATCGGTCCTTGTACCTGTGTTAGCAGGTTCCATGGTCACACCTAGCTGAATCCATCATCACCCCAACTCTTGAGCTGACCAGGAGAATTTGTATTTCCATAGGCTTTGGCCCACAAATCCCCACAGAATCTGCCCCCAGACCTGGTTCTCTCACATGCTTGTTAGTGCAATGGTCCTGCCTAATGTGACTCATCCCCCGTTCTGACATTCAGTCAGGTACTAGGATCTAGTCCTGCCAGACAAGCCTACAGCTCTAAGTTTCATGTGGACTGATGTGTGGTAGTCAGCAGTTTCCATGCTAACAAGCCCAAGTCCAGATTCCCATGTAGGTTGGTGCATGAGTCTGACTCATACAGATCTTCCAGTCTCTCCCCTCTAAACATCAGGTCTCAGTCTGCTCGCTTACCTGCAAGTACAGTGGCCCTGCTATTAGGAGTCCCTCAGGATTTGTTCCTCATCTACATGTACGGTGGCCTTATTCATGGATGTCCCTTATCCATGGATGTCTCCAGACCCCCAAGACCCTAGAGCTCATTGGCGGGTGACCAGTAGGTGAAGGCCAGCTCTGTTGTCACTCTGGCAGACACAAGCTCAGGATTTGCCCACCACTTGGCAGCGGTGGTCAGGGAGCTAGGAGATTCAGATGCCAGCACCTCTGAGCAGACTTACCTAGACTCTGCCCACCAACACGGTGCTAGTGGGTGGAGCAATCCAACAGAATGCTTTTTTCTTTTTTAAAACTCAGGAACATCTTTTTTTATTACTACTATTTTGCTTTTTGCTCCAGAGTCCCCCCCCCCCGAACACACACACAACGCACTCACACACACATGCACACTCACAAATTGGAATGGATAGGCAGAGAATAAGGAAGGCTTGGTCAGCATGGACTCACACACACCTTACTAGGTAGGACATGGGGATTACCTCACCAAGGTATGGAAGATTTCTCTGCATACCCCTCCTAAAACTGTTTCGCACCTCAATTGTTGAATTGTCATTGAAATAGTCACAGAAAGTTGTTAAGGCCCGGCGCGGTGGCACAGTGGTTAAGGTCCTCGCCTTGCACGCCCTGCGATCCCATATGGGCGCCGGTTCTATCCCGGCAGCCCCGCTTCCCATCCAGCTCCCTGCCTGTGGCCTGGGAAAGCAGTTGAGGACAGCCCAAAGCTTTGGGACCCTGCACCCGCGTGGGAGACCCGGAAGAGGCTCCTGGCTTTGGATCGGCATAGTATCGGCCCGTTGTGCTCACTTGGGGAGTGAATCATCGGACGGAAGATCTTCCTCTCTGTCTCTCCTCTCTGTATATCCGCCTTTCCAATAAAAAAAAGAATAAAAATAAATCTTTAAAAAAATATGTTTAAAAATATTCTGTCACTCTTCAAACATATAAATGAAAGTTCATTAAAATGTGGGTGGATGCAGAGACATGGGGCGGTGAGCTAAGCTGCTATTTGCAGCTCTGGCATCCCACTGCAGAGTCCCCACATTAGATTCCCTGTTGCTCTGCTGCCAATCCAGTGCCCTGCTGACATGCCTAGAAAGCAGTGGAACATGTTTCAAGCATTTATTTGCAAACAGAGTGACGGAGGCAGATATGCTCATCTGCTGGTTCACTTGCTAAACAGCGTCAGCAAATCGGGCACGTAGGCTGAAGACAGGAGCCAAAAACTCTATCCGTGTCTCATGCTTGTGTGCCATCTCTTGCTTCCTAAAGGGACCTTAACAGAGAACTGTATCAGAAGTGTTAACTACCCAAGACAAAGAGCCAAGGCAGTCTGCTTCATATGGGATGCAGGGTGCCAAGCCACAGCTGGCTTCATCTGGCTTAAACCAAGCCTAGTGTTCACTGTTACTGAAGACACTCATCAGAGGTGCTTTGTGCAAGAATGCAGACGCGAGACTGAAGAGTGTAAACATGACAGCCAGTTTTGCTTTTAAGGTTGATTTATTTGAAAGGCAGAATTACCAAGAGAAGAAGTGATAAAGAGAGATCTTTCACCCACTGGTTCATTCCCCAAATGGCAGCAGCATACCAGGGCTGTGTTTGGACCAAGCCAGGAGCCAGGCGCTTTTTCTGGGTCTCCCATAGCAGGGCAGAGGCCCAAGGATTTGGATTATCTTCTGATACTTTTCCAGACATATCACCAGGGAGCCAGAACTCAAATCAGTTATGCCACAACGTCAGCCCTCACCAGCCAAGTATAACTTGGAAAAATACACATGATGGTCCGGGTGGGCATCACTCAATCCATGTTCAGCTGAGCTTTAATGGATATGGATATGGGTCACTTCTTCCCTCCTACACCCCCAACCCCATTGTTAAGGTAGATTGGATCTAATATTTCTTTTCTATTTTCTTGCCTCATACTTTAAAAAAGAACTCCACGTACAGCACAGATACAGCTTCCAAAATTATCAATAAAATTTACTTAAAATGTGAAGAAATCCCAGGTGCACGTGGGCCATGTTCAGGGATGCCGTGGCTGGGAAGGTGGGGAGAGTGAGATGTTTCAGCTTTGTGCCCTTCGTGTGCAGGAGAGAGCAAGAGTGAGTCCTTCGTTGGGGCACTTTTGGAGCTTGAAGAGTAAGTGCTTTGGGGACAGGGCCCCTTCCCCACAGCACCCTGGGAAGGGGTTATTTGGCTGTCAGGTGGATAGGATTACGGAGGGAAGGGAAGGTGTGAGCCCTATAACTCCCACACCCTTTTTGGGCCATTCTTAGGTGGAAAGCTCCTGTGTGTGATCTCATTGGCAAAACTCCTCCCAGAACGTTGTCAGCTGCGCCCAGCAGCCCACTGCAACCCACCCAACAAGGTTATCAGACCAGGGCGAAATTTCCCCCGTGTAACTGCTGATGGGCTTCAGCAGTTCACACCTGCGCTTCTTACCCTCTTCAGCCACACAATAGCCCCATTTTCTTCGTTAACCCACCTGCTGGAACACCGTGTTTACTGTAAGCAAACACTCTGCAACACACTGGCTGGAAAGAACGTGTTCTGTTAACATTCTTCCTTTAGGGCATACTTCGCTAGTCAATAATTCAGTTTAAAAAGATCTAAGGAACACCTTATCTTAAGCTGCCTAGGGGAGCCAGAGGTTTGAAAACCAGTGGGAGGAGCCGGGGGCGGAACTTCACGGATCCTTCACAACCAGGCCCAATCATGTCCGACGACGGGGCAGAGTCCCGCCCACTCTCTCCCGGAAGCGGGGGCGTGGCTTAGTGGCGTGCGCTTCCGGCGGAGCCCGGGGCCGCGGTGGTGGAGGGGACATTCGGGGATCCTGCTGGGCAGAGATGTTCTACCATGTGAGTGGACACTGGGGAGGCCGAGGGCTGAGTGTCGGGGTGCTCGGGGCTGCCTCGGGCCGCTGGTCTTGGCTGGGCGCCGCCAGGCTCCTCTGCGCTCTCCCCGCAGATCTCCCTGGAGCATGAGATCCTGCTGCACCCTCGCTACTTCGGCCCTAACCTGCTCAACACGGTCAAACAGAAGCTCTTCACCGAGGTCGAGGGCACCTGCACCGGCAAGTGAGCACCTGGCAGGGCCTGCTGTGGGAGGGAGCGACAGGAAGGGCGCTGGTGGCTCACAGGGCAGCAGACGTCCTGGAGCCTGCCTGGGTTCGAGACCAGGTCTGCTCCTGAGCCTGCCTGGGTTCCAACCCAGGTTCTGCAGAATCCCACCTATGGGGCAGACCGTAGCATTTTCATGTGGCGTGGCAGGCGCTGCTCCAGGCCGGTCCGCTTCATCCTCTCCCAGGCTCAGCCACTCTTCTTCTTTTTTTTTTTTTTAAAGATTTGTTTATTTTTATTGGAAAGTTAGATTCACAGAGATAAGGAGACAGAAGATCCGTCCCCAAGTAGCCACAACCACTGGAGCTGAGCCGATCTGGAGCCAGGATCCTAGAGCCACTTCTTCAGGGTCTCCCACGCAGGAGCAGGGTCCCAAGGCTTGGGCCGTCTTCGACTGCTTTCCCAGGCCACAAGCAGGGAGCTGGATGGGAAGTGGGGCTGCCGGGATTAGAAGCGGCGCCCATATGGAACCCTGGCATGTGCAAGGCAAGGATCTAGGCACTAGGCTACCACACCGGGTGCACTGGCACTCTTGGTGCAGGTGGCTTTGGAGGCCTGTCCACATCCTCCTCCTCCCCCTCCCAGGTATGGCTTTGTCATTGCTGTCACCACCATAGACAACATTGGTGCGGGCGTGATCCAGCCCGGCAGAGGCTTTGTGCTGTATCCTGTGAAGTACAAGGCCATCGTGTTCCGGCCGTTTAAAGGCGAGGTTGTGGATGCGGTTGTCACTCAGGTGAACAAGGTGAGTCAATGGACGGTCCCTGGGAGGCTCTGGCCTGGTCCCTGCAGCATCTTCCAACTCTGCCTTCGCTCAAGGCCCTTCTTTGTAATTACAGGGCTCTTTGTCCTGCCTGCTCAGGAGGTAGGTTGGTCATAATGATAGACCCCTGCATTGACCGACCAGTGGTTCCTGCGGGCCAGCCTCGCTTGCCTCCATAAGGTGGGCATTCTGGCTCTCGTTACAGAGGCTAAAGCTTAGAGAAGTTACTCGTACTAGCCGAGGGTGCATGGCCACAAGGGTTCAGATGTGGGATTAGTTAAGCCTAGATTTATTTTCTTTACTACTACACTATTTACTTACTTAATTAATTAAGGATTTGGTTTAATTGAAAAGCAGAGAGAGAGATCTTCCATATGCTGGTTCACTTCCCAAATGCCCACATTGGCCAGCCCAGCTCCTAGGAACTTGTGGTTTTCTGTGTGGGCGCAGGGTCCACGGCACTTGGTCTGTTCTCCACTGCCCTCCCCACCGTCCAGCCCATTCACAGGGGGCTGGGTCTCAGCAGCACTGGCACCAGCCCCATATGGGATGCTGGTGTCTCAGGCAGCAGTTTTACCCATTACACCACAGTACCTGCCCCCATTTCCATAACTTAAAATGGAAGGTTCGTGCTGATGTGGCACAGCGAGCTAAGCTTACTTGCCCTGCTACATTCACATCCCATGTTGATATGCTGGTTCATGTCTTTGCTGCATTGCTTGTTATCCTGTTTCCTGCTGATCTGTCCAGGAAAACAGTGGAACCAAGCTTGTGTGCTTGGCTCCCTGCCCCCGTTGTGGAGAGCTGGCTGGATTTTTTGGGCTCTTGGCTACAGCCCGAGCCATTTGAGGACGGAATCCGTGGACGGAAGATCTGATTCTCTGTCCTCCTTCTGTCATTCTGCCTTTCAGATACGTAAGATACTGTTAAATAAGTGAGTAAAATGAAAAACTAATGAAAGAGACAAGTGGGAACAAATGCTACACTCCACATTGGTAATAGAACATAAATAAAATTGCTGGAGCTCAAAAGTGGAAAACAGTAGAATTTGGGGAGGAGAAAAGCAAAAACAAAACCATCCGTTGTTTTCCTTCTAGGTTGGCCTCTTCACAGAGATCGGCCCCATGTCGTGCTTCATCTCGCGACATGTGAGTCTGGGTGCACTGGGTGGGGCGGAAGGAGAGGCCCCACGGGTGCCCCTCTTGGAGCATCTCGGCAAGTGCTGATCGTCCTGGCTCTGCACTCCTCTCTGGTCCCTGGTTCTAGCCTCCTGCTAGCCTGAGCCCTGGGAGGGCGGTGGCAGTGGCGCCAGCCGTTGGGTCCCTCTTCCTCCCCAGGTGGGAGACCTGGATTGGGGTCTCGGCTCCTGCCTCTGGCCCCAGGCTTGAGCCATTGTGGGCATTGGATGGGGATTAGCAGTGGGTGGGAATCCTCTGCCTCTTGCTGTCTCCCCAGCAACAGTGCTGACCCACTCGCGCCTTTTTCCTTTCAGTCCATCCCATCAGAGATGGAATTTGATCCGAACTCCAACCCCCCGTGTTACAAGACGATGGATGAGGTGAGCATTCCGGGAGAGGTCAGGGTGCGGAGCAGAGGCACGGGGTGCCGGGAGGCAACGGGGGGACCTAGGCACGTCTTGAGAACCCCGTTCCCTCGTCTTGCCAGGACATTGTGATCCAACAGGACGATGAGATCCGCTTGAAGATCGTAGGCACTCGTGTGGACAAGAATGACATTGTGAGTGAGGTGCCTGGTCCCCGCCGGGCTGAGAACTGGCTGCTTTTCACTTACAGTTGTTGAGAATTGCTGAGGGTTCCCGGAAGATGGGCGGGTGGTGGAAGGCACAGGCCGGCAGGGCGCCAGGAGGACTGTTCTGCTCTTGCCTGGGCTTCATGTTCTTTCCCCCTTCCTCTCCTGCAGTTTGCTATTGGCTCCCTGATGGATGATTACCTGGGTAAGTGTCTGTAGAGGAAGGGGCCACTGCAGGGTGAAGGAGGCCCGGGTCAGCACCTCTGCTGCTGGCCACTGGCAAGATGCAGCACGTGAGCCCTGAGGATGGGAATTTCGTGGCTGTGGTCGCCCACCAGCTCTGGGTCTAACTGTGCTTTTTATCTGCCTTCACAGGGCTGGTGAGCTGAACCCAGGAGCCTGCTGCCTTCCGTGGTCCCAGTTTGAAGACGTGTGACTCATCGCAAGTGCCCTCATGCGCAGAGCCCCTGTCTGGCGCTGCTGGAGAGGCAGGGAGCTTCCTTGTCATCGGAAGACATCCGGTGCTTCTTCTAGCTTAGCTGCTGCTCCAACTCAGTTGTGTCCTAACCATAAAGATGGCATTTTCTCTTGGAAGTGTTAGCTTCTTTTCTTGATACACACAAAGTCTGTTTTTAAAATGTTTCATTTTCTGTGAAAAAGTAACCCCACCCACACAGGGAGACCCAAAGGGAATTCCTAGTTCCTTGGCTTCTGCCTGATTTGGCCATGGCTGTGGATGGAAGGTCTTTGGTTGTTTCTCTCTCCCCTCTCTGTTACGCTGCCTTTCCAATAAACAGTTCTTTGGAAAAAACAACAACAAACCAGGGAGTGTGGGTCAGTTGCTCCCTAGCTCCTCTGTTCCTTGGCCTGATGCATGCTTAACCATTTGCCAAGATCTGAAATTGATCTTCACACAAGGTTCTGATGTTGGATCTTTGGCTTCTTGCAATGATATCACATAAGAAATATGCTGAATTTGGGCCTGGTGCGATAGCATAGTGGTTAAAAACCTTGTCTTGAACTCGCCAGGATCCCATATGGGAGCCGGTTCTAGTCCCGGTGGCCCTGCTTGTGGTCTGGGAGGTTGGGGGAGGACGGCCCAAAGCCTTGGAACCCTGCACCCATGTGGGAGACCCAGAAGAGCCTCCTGGTTCCGGATTTTCTCTGCTCCAACCATTGCAGCCACTTGGGGAGTGAGCCATTGGACGGAAGACCTTCCTCTGTCTCTTCTCTCTGTGTATCTGCCTTTCCAATAAAAATAGATAAATCTTTTAAAAAATAAATATGCTGAATTCTTGCCTAGTTCCGTGATCACCCAGCCCCTGCCCTTAGACGCGGGAGAGGAGAGAGCAGATAGGGAGAGATGGACAAGAAGGCAGTAACGAACATCGTGGGGTTCCAATACAACCCTGACGGGGAACCGGGGGGCCTGCATTCACCGATTCTACACAGGACCAGTCATGTAGCAGGAATCATAATCTAGTTGGGTTCATGATGAAATCCTGCATCCCTGCTTGTAGGATCAAACCAATGTGCTCTATAAACTCTACCTTCGACTTATCTATGTATCTTGCCTACTATCGGCCGTTGCGGCTACCTGGGGAGTGAATCATCGGACGGAAGATCTTCCTCTCTGTCTTCTCTATATCTGACTTTGCAATAAAAATCTTCATGATTTAGCAGGCTTCTATTGGTGGGTTAGAAGCAAGCAACTTTCAGAAAGTACAAATTGATGGGCTATAGGGCGGTGAATCTTACCAAACACCAGGTACCTCCTTCCTGAGGAGTGCTCTGCCTAGTGACCTGCCAGGTGTCCTGCCGGGTGTCACGTAGACTATCAGGCCTGGAGTTCACACAGCCCCCAGCCAAGCCATTAAGGCAGAATCACAAGAGCAGAAAACATCTAGGTTCTTCAACATGTTCGACATAAAGTTGTAGTCCAAGTTGTCTCAGCTGTTAATACTGCATGCTGTGGCCTTGACAGGATGGCCTAGCACCTGAATCCTTGCTTTACACACACCCAGATACCTTGTGGGCAGCAGTTTGTGTCCCAGCTGCTCCACAACCCATCCAGCTCCCTGCTAGTGACCTGGGAAAGTAGTAGAGGTTGACCCTGAGCCTTGGGACCCTGCACCCACATGGAAGACCCAGAGAAAGCTCCTGGCTCCTGGCATTGGATCAGCTCAGTTCCGGTCACTGTGGCTATTTGCGGACTGAGCCAGTGCTGGAGTCCAGCTCCAGCTGAGCTCGGAGCTCGAGAAGCATGCGTGGAGTCAGCGACAACGACACAGACACTGTCACTTGGTGCCTTCTTGCTAGAGCTCAAGAAGAAGCTGTCCTTTTTATTTACTTAGACACAACACAAGCCTCTACACAATCATTTGATTGTTCTGTTTTTACTTCATGATTAAGTGGGTATGCACAGATGTTTCATTATTTTATGTTTTACTTCATGGTCAACCAGGTGCTCTTAAAGATAATTCTGTAAGTTACTATAACCAGTTCCTTTAAAGCAAGCCGTTATTCATTCTTCAGAAGTGGCCATTAGGTGACAGCCAGAACTCCAAGGCCAAGGCACAGATGGTTACCTGCTAATCAGTAATACATTCCTACTACATTTTATTTTCACAACTTATCTATCACTTAGTGGGAGAAATACATCAAAAGGGAAAAAAGCATAAAGATCTAAGACAAAGAGTTTCAAACATTAAATCCCCCTACAACTGCAGGCTCTATAACCTCATAAACGATCAAACAATAATCAAAAGTATATCTCTATGATGTTAATAAAATCGCCCTATATTTCCTCTAGTTACAAAATTATGAAAGAGGCTAAAACAGCTATATTTTCAATGTTCCAAAGAAACTGCAAAGACAGACTAGCCATTGAGATAACAATATTTGTTGCCATAGCAGTTTCAGCTCTCACTCCCATCACTTGCATTAATATTTAGGATATTTATCAAGCCCTTTCCCAGAAGGCATGCTACATGTCTGGGCTAGATTTCATGGCATGTCAGTTGCACCTTCTCAGAACATGCTATCAGCAGGTTGAATCAGAAGTGGAATCGCAGGCCCAGGGCAATAGCTTAGTGCCTAATATCCTTGCCTTGCAAATGCCAGGATCCCATATGAGCACTAGTTTGTGTCCCAGTTGCCCCAGTTCCCATCCAGCTCCTGCCTGAAGCCTGGGAAAGCAGTAGAAGGAGCTCCTAGCTCGTGGCTTCGACTTAGCTCAGCTCTGGCTTTTGCGGTCACTTGGGGGGTGAACCAGTGGGTGGAAGATCTTCCTCTCTGTCTCTCCTTTTCTGTGTAAATCTGTACAATAAATAAATCTTAAATACAAGAAGTGGCATCCCCAGGCACTCCAACCCAGGGTTCATGCAGGCCCCAAACACATGACTGCAGACACTTTTTTTTTTTAAGATTTATTTTTATCATTTTTTTTTTTTAATTGGAAAGGCGGATATACAGAGAGGAGAGACAGAGAGGAAGATCTTCCATCCGATGATTCACTCCCCAAGTGAGCGCAACAACGGCCGATACTATGCCGATCTGAAGCCAGGAGCCTCTTCCGGGTCTCCCACGCGGATGCAGGGTCCCAAAGCTTTGGGCAGTCCTTGACTGCTTTCCCGGGCCACAGGCAGGGAGCTGGATGGGAAGCGGGGCTACTGGGATTAGAACCGGCGCCCATATGGGATCCCGGGCGTGCAAGGCGAGGACCTTAACCACTGCGCCACTGTGCCGGGCCCTGCAGACACTTTTAAACTCCGATTTATTGCGGCCACAGCTTTACATGCTTCCTGTTCACATTTGTGTCCTGTGTTTCCCAGTGTTTCGAGTTTGCTGAGTCAAGACTTTCCTGTTGGATTTGCAAGAAATGTACCAATGAAAACAATGGAGCCATTGGGTGTCACTGCACAAGCAGGAGTAGGTTACCTGGGCTGTAGAATTTTACCTAACTTCTACACATGAAAGTAAGTTTCCCAGGTTCTGCAGTGCAACCACGCACTCATTGTGTAAAGGAAGACAGCCGTGCTCAGTCATCTGCCTGGACGCTCTGTAGACCGAGCTACGAGCAGGCATGGTCTGGGGATGGTCTCCAGCGGCCAGAATGGCTGCTCTTGGTGGGAGAGGCGTCAGGGCGGTGTTGTCTTTGGAAGAGGTCACGGGCTCCTAGTAACTGCTGTGCCCTAGGCAACATACTATTAGATCGTTCACCCATACTCCCACCCCTTGCAGCTGACAGATTGACTACTACCTGCAGGGGCCAGTGCTGTGGCATAGCACATGAGGCCTCTGCCTGTAGAGCTGGCATTCCACATGGGTTCCGGTTTTATAGTCCAGCTCCCTGCTGAAGTGCTTAGGAACACAGCAGAACATGGCTTAAGTCTTTGGGCTCCTGAACCCAGGAGCCCAGCAGAAGTTTTGGACTGCCATGGTGGCCATATGGGGAGTGAACCAGTGGATGGAAGATCTCTCCCTTTCTGTATAACTCTTGCCTTTCAAATAAATAAACCTTAAGGAAAAAAAAAAAAAAAAGATTGCATGGTGCTACTCTTATCTGTGCTTCCATGGCAACGGGACAGGTCCCAGTGAGTGACAGATTTTCTGTTGGCATTAAGACTGCTGTAACTCTGGTTGATGGCTGCTGCCACTGGACTGCTGCTCCTGCTGTTATGTTCTGTCCATGCTACCACAGCTGCTGTTGGCTACATAAAAAGGAAACATCTACCCGTGGCCCTGCAAGTATTCCTTCAGTCTTGGTCTGCCACGCCTTGATGCCTTGATCTCACTAAAGGAAACCCAGCAGTTTCCCTTTTTTAAAATTTGTTTATTTTTATTGGAAAGGTAGCTTTCATAGAGAAGGTGTGACGAAAAGAAAGGATGTTGCATTCTCTGGCTCACTCCCCAAATGGCCGCGAAGGTCAGAGCTGAGCTGATCGAAGCCAGGAGCTGGGAGAGTCTTCTGGTCCCAAGGCTTTGGGCCATTTTCTTCTGCTTTCTGAGGTCAGGGAGCTGGATGGGAAGTAGAGCAGCCAGGACAAGAACCGGCACCCATATGGGATGGCAGTACTAGCAGGTGAAGAATTAGCCAATTGAGTCATCATTCTGGCCCCTATTTACTTTTGAAAGAAAGAGAGAGATCTTCCATTTGCTGGTTCGCTTGCCCAGTTCCCATATAGCTGGAGTAGAGTTAACCTGAATTAGGAGTCTAGAATTCCAGCTGGTCCCCTACGCTTTGTCACTGTATGTTTCTACACAGGACTGTTGGAGACTCAGCAGGGTCAAGTGTCGCCTCAGGTGAGATTGCCAGGGCAACCTACTGTCCACCATCAGAAGCTCCCTTCTCTGCTCCACAGCACGCACAAACCACCGCATCCTGGCTGGACACAAAGGTCTCTGTCGTTTATCCCCCGTGGAGATGGAAGGAGAGTTCAGCCTCCAGTTCTGCTAGGTGCTTTACGTTCCTATCGTTTCATCTTCAGTTGGGCAATATAAATCCCCCGTCTATAGGTGGAGGTAGGGGTGACAGGAGGAATTAGCTCAAATCAGTGTTAGAATTTGCACTTGCTTTGATCTGACTGTAAACAGCAAACTTCAGAGTTCGGGGTCCCAAGCTTGCGTCTGCCTAGAAGTGCCTCAGCCGGGAGACGACAGCTGTCGGGAATATCATTCCTTTCAGGAAGGGGAAGTAGCCAGTGTGGGACAGGAAGGATGGACAGGAAAATTAAGCCAGGCGCCCAAGTCTAAGATTTTGCTGAAGTCTCGAGAATGCAATCTCTCCGACACTGGGGATCGTACAAGACCTTTTCCCTCGACAAAATAACGCCGCTTAAACGTATACCAAAGTACACACCGGCTTGTCCAATTCCCAAAGCCTGTTACTTTAAGAAGCGCGGCGCTTCGGCGTCACGTGAGGCAAAGCGCCCTGGGTTTCCCTCCCATGTTCCTCCAGACCAATCACATGGCGGGAGGCGCTTGGGAGGGCGGGCTTTCCTAGGAAACGGGGCTCGCTGATTTGCTGTGCCCGCGGGGGCGGGGCCTAGGTGCGCAGCGAGGGAATTAGCGCGAGCTGGGTGAGTGTGGGCGGCTGCAGCGCCGGGCCCGCGGCTGCGTCGGCTCCGCCGCGCCGGACCCCAGGTGAGACCCCGCCGAGCGCCCGGACTCCCCGCCCCGCCGGGGAGGTGACCCCTGAGCGCCTCCGCCCCGACCCACCCACTCGGGACTGTGCTGCGCGCGGGTGGGCGGGACGAGGCGCGTGCCCGCGGCCCCGGGCGGGCAGTGCCCACGCGTCCTCACGGGTGCGACGAGGAGCGGGGGACTTGGTCAGGGCCGGGGTTTGGTGGGGTCCCCCTGGCAGGCCCGTCATGGAGGAGCTGCGTCTGCGGGGACTGCGCGCGCCTGCTCCCATATCACAGATGGGCAGGCTGAGGCGCACAGTTCCCTGAGGGTGTGTGTGGAGTCAGCAGGTGCGGGGAGTGGGCCCTGACTTCCAGTGTGGGTAGTAGCCGGGTCCCTCGGGTGGAGCGATGAGAGCCTTTCTGAGCCCTTTGGCTGGGTGGCTCTGGGCACGCTCTGCTCACCCGGCTCGCTTACCCCCTGCCTTCCAGGGAGTGTTTCTTGAGCGTGGATCATGTGCTGACCCTGTGCTGGACGCAGAGGATGCAGAGGTGAGCCTGCAGCCCTGGCTTCTGCCCGCGGGGAGCCTGCAGGCCCGTGCGGTGGGGAGCTGGGCCAACGTGCTCCAGGGGAACAGCGACAAGGAAATCGGGGAATGCTTCTCCAGGCAGGTGGCCGCTGAGGTCTGGTGGAGGCCTTGGGATGGGCAGTGAGGTAAGGGCAGTGAGGGTGAGGAGCTCGCAGGGCGTTCCCAGCACAGGACACAGTCCGTGGGGGTCTGGAGCAAGCACTGCTGAGACATGAGAAAGTGCTGGGAGGCAGGCATAGGCTACAGCCCTGCTGGGCAGCTGTGCCTTCTTTTTATCTTTTTAAAGATTTTATTTTATTGAGGGGCCCAGTTCGGTGGCCTAGCAGCTAAAATTCTCACCTTGCACTTGCCAGGATTCCATTTGGGTGCCTGTTCTAATCCCGGCAACCCTGCTTCCCATCCAGCTCCCTGCCTGTGGTCTGGGAAAGCAATCAAGGACGTCCCAAAGCTTTGGGATCCTATACCCACTTGGGAGACCTGGAGGAGGTTCCTGGCTCCTGGCTTTGGGTCAGCAGAGCACCAGCCATTGTGGTCATTTGGGGAGTGAATCATTGCATAGCAGATCTTCCTCTCTGAGAGGAGGAGAGACAGAAAGATCTTCCATCTGTTGGTTCACTCCCCAAGGGGCTGCAACAGCCGGAGATGAGCCAATCCAAAGGCAGGAGCTGGGAGGCTCTCCTTGGCTTCCCATGCAAGTGCAGGGTCCTAAGGCTTTGGGCTTTCCTTGACTGCTTTCCCAGGCCACAAGCAGGGAGCTGGATGGAAAGTATAGCAGCTAGGATACAAACTGGCATCCATTTGGGATGCCTGTGCTTGCAGGTGAAGGCTTAGTCCGTTGAGCCACCCTGTTGCCCCTGTGTAGTGCAAGCTGCAGGGATGTCTGAAGGCCATTTTTGGTGAGCCTTGAACTTGGCCACCTGGTGTTCTTTGGTGACCCCGCATACATGTCAGAGGCGTCACGGGACAGTGTGTGGTTGTGTCCCTGGAGCTGCGTGGGGTACGGTGACGTCACGGAGGCAGTGTGGGCCTGGCCTCCTGTGTGTGTTATTGGAGGCAGTCACGGCTGTGCTTGTGTTGGAGAATAGGAGGTCCCGGGACACGTGCTGTGGAGCAGTGGCTGAGGTCTCTGCTTGGGATGCCCACATCCCACTCCTGATGGTAACGTGCCCTGCCACCGTCTCATCCACTTCCTGTCGGCTTCCTGCCGATGTGAACCCGCTAGGCTGCAGGTGCTGGCTCAGGGACCCCGGGGGCCCAGGGAGGGTTCTTGGCTCCTGGCCTTGGCCTGTTGTGGTTGGTTAGGGAGTCAGTGAGTGACTGAAATTTTTTTTCCTCCTTTCTGTCATTCTGCCTTTAAAATACGTTTTAAGAATGTGATGAAGAGCAGGTCCCTGCGTTTAGGCCTTGTAAGCAAACTAGAGGCCCAGAGCCGGGACAGAAATCCTGCCTGCGTCCTGGCACGGGAGACCCCAGGGTGGGTGGGGCTCTGGAGTCGGCCAAGAGCACAGCTGAGCGGAGCCTGTGCTGGGACACAGGCCGGCCGGGAGGGGAGGCTGTGTGACAGCGGTGGCGGCGGTGAGGGACCAGAGGAAGCCTGATGCCAAGCAGGGACGTGGACTCAGGGCTGGAACAGAAGAGCGTCGGGTTTGAGGCAGAGTTGGGTGTTTTACTGAGAATCAGAGGGCCAAGAGGAGAGGCCTGCTTTCACGTCCACGCTGGTGAGGACTCTCGGGGTCCTCACAGCTGCCCAGGGTGTCCGGTCCCCACTGTGCCGTCTAGGACAGCTCAGGCTGTGCAAGGTCTTGGCCGGAGTCATGTAGCATAGGCAGGGCAGGGACCCGTTCCCTGAACGCCGAGCGGGGCCTTTTCTCGGCCCTCCCCGTTGGCTCCCACAGGCCAGGCTGATTCCTTCTCTGAGCCTCACCATGCTCCCCTCGGTACTCAGAGCGCCTTGCTCAGGGCTGGTGGCTGAGAGGGTCCTGCCGTGCCTGCCTGGGCCGCAGGGGAGAGAGGTGAGGCCTCTGTTGAGCTCTTGCCTCTCCTCTGCCAGCTCCACTGGGGCCATGTCGGATCGAGAAGAGCGGCGCTTCGTGGAGATCCCGCGCGAGTCGGTGCGGCTCATGGCCGAGAGCACGGGCCTGGAGCTGAGCGACGAGGTGGCGGCCCTGCTTGCAGAGGACGTGTGCTATCGGCTCCGGGAAGCAACACAGGTGGGCTCCCCTCCTCCCCCGGGACCCCTCAGCTCTCCACGGCCGTCCCTTGTCCTGCCTCCCACATGGATTTATCCAGCTGGTACAGCGTGTGTGCGGATGCTGTACCCCAAGGGCATGTGATGGAGGCAGCCCGCATGTCCTACAGAGCTCCCCTGGCTGCATCCGTTGAGAATTTTCTGCACACAGGAGTGAGGCGTGGAGGGCACAGCAGCCTGCCGTGTTGGAGGCCTGCTTCAGATCCCTGCTGCCCTGGGCTTCCGGTGTGTCTGGGAAGGCGGCTGCTGGTGACCCACATGCTCGGGTCCTTGTCGCCTATGTCGGGGACCCAGCTGGAGTTCGGATTTCCTGACTTGGCCTGACCCAGCCGTGATGGTTGGGGTCGTTTGGGTAGTAGGTGGAGGAGCTCTGCTTGCTTCTGTCACTTTGCTTTTCAAATAAAAAGTAAAATAAAATATTTTTAGAAGATTCATTTTGATCGGGAAGACAGATTTACAGAGAGGAGAAACAAAGAATCTTATATCCACTGGTTTACACTCTAAGCGGCTTCAGTGGCCAGAGCTAAGCTTATCTGAAGCCACGAGCTTCTTCTGGTCTCCCACGCGGGTACAGGGACCCAAAACCTTGGGCCATCCTGCTTTCCCAGGCCATATGCAGGGAGCTAAATGGGAAATGGAGCAGCCAGGGCACGAACTGGCACCCATGTGGGATCCTGGTGCATGCAAGGCGAGGATTTAGCCACTGAGCAATTGCGCCATACCCATAAAATATATCTTAAAAAAAAAAAAAAAACCTCCCTGAGGCTGGTGTTGTGGCACAGTGAGTTAAGCCACCGTCTCCAACACAGCATCCCAGATCAGTGTGCCAGATCAAGTGTTAGTTGCTCTGCCTCTGCTCCAGCTCCCAGTAACGCACCTGGGAAAGCGATGGAAGATGCCTGAGTACTTTGAGCTCCCACCCCCTGCCTGGAAGACCTGGGTGAGATTAACAGGCTCCTAGCTTTAGCCAAGTCCAGCTTTGGCCAGCTAGCACATGGAAAACCACTATGTCTCTGTCATTCTTTAAAGTAAATAAATCCTAAAAGTTTGAGGCACAGTGGGGATGGGGGCTTCTTGGGCAACAACAAGAGAGCTGGCAGGTGGCCCCTGGGGTGGCCATGGGAGCGCCTGCATCCCGCTTAAAGTGAACCTGCCAAGACGGAAGGTCTTAGAGCAGGCAGCCAGCTGCTCACTGGTGTGGGGTCCCGGTCCAGCCTGCTGTATTTGGGGGCTCCCTCCCCCAGCGCCTGACTCTGGCTTCTGCTCCTCCCCTCCCAGAACAGCTCTCAGTTCATGAAGCATACCAAACGCCGGAAGCTGACAGTTGAGGACTTCAACAGGGCGCTTAGATGGAGCAGCGTGGAGGTGAGCGGCTCCAGACGGCCTGAGCCCTGCTCCGTGCTACTGCTCCAAGACTGCCCGCCCGGCAGGCCGGGGGCCCAGCCGGCCTGAGCTCAGAGTTCAGAGCTGAGGGAGAGGGGGCTGCTGGGACACCAGGAAGAGCTGGGACTGAAGCTGGGCCTTAGCAAAGGGTGATGAAGAACTTGGGCTTGGCTCTAATGAAGGCAAAATGAGAGGAGAGTTGCTGGGTAAGGAGGGTTCCTGAGCACCCATGGGTGGCTGCTGAGGCCGGGAGCTGAGGGAGGAGGTGGAGTTTAGAAGAGTGTATTTTCAGAGTTGACCACGTGTGAATGGGAAAAATAGCAGCTCATGAGTGGGGCTTCAAACCCCTCACGTAGGGGGTGTGTGCATGTGTGTGTGGCTTGTTCAGCCCCGGGGCCCACCCAGCAGCGGGTGCTCTAGCCACATTCCCGGTGATGGCTCTGAGCCCCAAGCTTCTTCTCCCCGGACCCCTCCAGTTCCATGGGAAGGGCTCGTCCTAGTGGCGGGGTCCTGTCCTGTGCCCAGCTGCTCTCCACTGCTCTCTTCAGGCTGTCTGTGGGTATGGATCCCAGGAAGCGCTGCCCCTGCGGCCCGCCAGGGAGGGTGAACTCTACTTCCCTGAGGACCGAGAAGTGAACCTGGTGGAGCTGGCCTTGGCCACCAACGTCCCCAAAGGCTGTGCCGAGACGGCAGTCAGAGGTGGCTGCTGGGTTCCCCGGGGGTTTGGGTGGAGTGGTCAGAGTGGCAGTGGGTTGGCTGGAGGGTGGGGCAGAAGCAGGAGGGACATAAGGGACAAAAGCCTGGCCTGACCTGTGTCTGCTCTGGTTCTAGTTCATGTCTCCTATCTGGATGGCAAGGGGAACCTGGCCCCCCAGGGATCAGGTAAGGCATGGTGTGGCAGATGGGCTCTGTGGTAGACCCCTCCTCCTGGGGGGCTCAGGATGGTGCTGCCAGGCCTCCGGCTCTGCGTCAGGCTAATGTTTGCTGATGCTGCCTTGCGTGGAGTTCTCAGCAGCGCCTGGTTTCTGCCCAGAGCTGCGCAGAACCTGTCGGATTTGGGGTGGAAGTCCGGCCACCCAGCAGTCCAGACGCCTGCTTCCATGCTGAGCCCAGCTCCACAGAGCCCGGGGATTGAGGCCTTGGAGCAGCAGGCCCCTGACCACGTGCTTCCTGTCGTTCCCCAGTACCCAGTGCTGTGTCTTCGCTGACTGATGACCTGCTCAAGTACTATCAGCAGGTGACTCGAGCTGTGCTGGGGGATGACCCACAGCTGATGAAGGTGAGTGCCAGGGTGGAGTTCCCTACAGGAACCTGTGCCTGGTCCTGTTGAGAGTGAGCAGGCGGAAGCTGCTTCCTGGGCCCGTGTGGTGGCGCTTGGAGGCTGCCCCTGCCGCAGTCCTGCCCCCCTCCTCTTGGACAGTGGACAGTTGGGCAGGGCATTCGTGGGGCTCGGGTCATCTGCTCACACTCTTCAAGTGGATCCCATCCTCTGGAGTGTCTGTCAGTCCGGGGCCTGAACTCGGGAGGGAGAGGACTAGCTGGGCCAGGCAAGCTGGCGGCCGGCCCTGTGGTCTGACCCCTTGTCCCTGGGCCTCATTCCAGCCTCTGCTGCATTGCCTGTGGACCACCCAGGGCCCAGCAAACAGTGCTCGCAGCCAGGCCTCCTCTCTGCAGAGCCCGAGGAAGGCTTGCTGGGGCCTGGTCCATCATACGCATTTCACTGGGTTTTACAGCCTGCTAGTAATCACAGGTTTGGCTGCTACTGTGGTTTCTCTTGTGAAGTTGGGACTGTTGCTGCCGGCTATTCTCATCTTTGAAACATGGATCTGGTGCCCAGCACAGTGGGTGGCTGCTGGGGAGCCTGGGGGCTGGGCCCCTCCTCATCGGCCTGTTTTCTGATTTCATAGCTGCTAGCTCACAATCTTTTTTTTTTTTTTTTTTTTTTTTTTTAATTTTTATTTGAAAGGCACAAATACAGAGCTAGGAGGTGGTGGGAGAGAGGACAGAGAGATCTTCCATCTACTGACTCAGTCCCCAAATGGCTGCAGTAGCTGGGGCTGGGCCAGGCCAAGGTCAGGAGCTTCCTCACCATCTCCTGCGTGGGTGCAGAGGCCAAGGACTTGAGCCGCCTTCTGCTGCTCTCCCAGGCACACTAGCAGGGAGCTGGATTGGAAGTGGAGCAGCCAGGACTCGAACTGGCACCCACATGGGATGCCATCATCTCTGGCAGCTGCTGAGCCATTATGTCACAACAGCAGACTCCAGGCTCTGGGTCTTTGTCCACAGACATTCAGAGGACACAGGTGGTGGAGCTTCAGAGTCTTGATGGCTTTAATAAAAATTCCTGCTCATAAAAGTAACACCAGTATGTGTTTATTATAGAAGTACAAATGTTATAAAACATCCAAAGTAGAAAATGAGACACACTGAAAGCTTCTTGCAGGTCTCCCGTACGGGTTCAGGGGCCTAAGGACTTGGGCCATCCTTCACCGCTTTCCCAGGTGTGTTAGCAGAAAGCTGGGTCAGATGTGGGGCACCCAGGACATGAAGCAGCACCATATGCGATGCTGGCACTCGTAGAGGGAAGATTAGCCTATTGAACCCCTGCGCCAGTCCTACATCATAAATGTAGGTGGCATTGAGAGTGTATTTCTGTAGGTTAAGCTAATGACACTGGAACTGCTGGATCAACCAGCAGCACATGTCCGATGGCCACACGTTGGAGCACTGCCCCTGCGTCACCTCAGTCCTGGGGCGGCCGATCCAGTACAGCCTGGGTCCTTCCTTTCAGATTGCTCTCCAAGACCTGCAGACCAACTCCAAGATCGCAGCGCTCCTGCCTTACTTTGTCTACGTGGTCAGTGGGGTAAGTGAGCAGGGTCTGGGAGAGGAGCTGGCTGGGCGGCTCCTGCCCACTCCTCAGTGACTGGCTGAAGGCACCTGCTTCTACCAACAGGTGAAGTCCGTCAGCCATGACCTGGAGCAGCTGCACCGGCTGCTGCAGGTGGCCCGGAGCCTCGTCCGCAACCCGCACCTCTGCCTGGGGCCCTACGTGCGTTCCCTGGTGGGCAGCGTCCTGTACTGCGTCCTCGAGCCACTGGCCGCCTCCATCAATCCCCTGAATGACCACTGGACTCTGCGGGATGGCGCCGCACTCCTGCTCAGTCACATCTTCTGGTAGGCTCGGGCCTAGAGCGGAGCCAGGGGCCTGCTGGGAGCTGTGGGGGTGGGGCCTGCAGAACACTCCTTGCCTTTGGGCTTCCAGGCTGCTGTGCTGGAACACACTGGGATTTTTTTAGCACACTACGAACGTGCCCAGGCGTTCCTGAGTTCCTCGGGTCTGGGCCCCTCTACTCGGCAGCCTCATTCACTTGGCCACTTCGCCCCGGGACACCGCGTCAAGGCTGTTTGTGTCTCACCCACAGGACTCACGGGGACCTTGTGAGTGGCCTCTACCAGCAGATCTTGCTCTCCCTCCAGAAGGTCCTCGTAGACCCCGTGCGGCCTCTCTGCTCTCACTACGGTGCTGTCGTGGGGCTGCACGCGCTTGGCTGGAAGGTGAGGACCCAGGCCTTCCTCTCAGAGACGGGAGAGCGTCTGGGAACAGTGTGTGTATGTGTCCCGTCCCTGAAACACATGCTTGCAGGTGGCAGTTATGGAGTCTCAGAACGCAGCTGCTGAGAGAATTTGAGTGTCTGTATATATGAGGATGCTTTAGAACGTCACAGAAAATGGAATTGAAGATTGATTTTATTATATGGAAAGGCAGATTTAGAGAAAGGAGAGACAGAAAAGGATCTTCAGTCCACTGGTTCACCCCCCAAGTGGCCTCAAACGCCAGAGCTGAGCTGATCTGAAGCCCGGAGCTTCTGGGTCTTTTGTGCAGATGCCGGGGCCCAAGGTTTTGGGCCGTCCTCAACTGCTTGCCCAGGCCACAAGCAGGGAGCTGGATGGGAAGTGGAGCTGCCAGGATTAGAACCAGTGTCCATATGGAATCCCAGCACTTATAAGGCAAGGATTTAGCTACTGAGCTGTTGTCCTGGGCCTGGAAAGTGAAATTTAAAAAGGCAAGTTTGTTTTGGCACCCAAACAGGTTTTAGGAATTAAAACTGTATGTTATGAAAGATTTGGATAAATCTAAAAAAGAAATGTTTTTAAAGATTTAGGGGCCCAGCTCAATGGCCTAGTGACTAAATCCTCACTTTGGATGCCTGGGATCTTAGTGGGTGCCCGTTTGTGTTGCTTTCCACCCAGCTCTCTGCGTGTAGCCTGGGAAAGCAGTGGAGGACCCTGCATCCACATGGGAGACCAGGAAGAAGTTCCTGGCTCCTGGCTTCAGATTGGCTCAGCTCTGGCTGCTGCGGCTACCTGCGGAGTGAGCTAGATGGAAGATCTATGTCTCTCCTTCTCTCTATAAATATGCCTTTCCAATGGAAAAACAAAGACATCTTTGGAAAAACAATAATTAATTTATTTGAAAGAGTTCACAGAAAGATTAAGGGAGATAAGAATCTTCCATGCACTACCCAGATGTTTGCACTGGTCAGGCTGGGTCAGGCCAAGACCAGGTACGTCTTCTGGATCTCCGTGTGGGTACAGGAGCCAGAGGTCAGGCTGGGTCAGGCCAAGACCAGGTACGTCTTCCGGATCTCCGTGTGGGTACAGGAGCCAGAGGTCTTGGGCCATCGTACACTGGTTTTCTTTTTCTTTCTTTTTTTTTTTTTTTAAGGATTTTTTGTTGTTGGAAAGTCAGATACACAGAGAGGAAGATCTTCCATCCGATGATTCACTCCCCAAGTAGCTGCAATGACTGGTGCTACGCCGATCCGAAGCCAGGAGCCTGGACCCTCTTCCAGGTCTCCCACGTGGGTGCAGGGTCCCAAGGCTTTGGGCTGTCCTCGACTGCTTTCCCAGGCCACCAGCAGGGAGCTGAATGGGAAGTGGGGCTGCTGGGATTAGAACCAGTGCCCATATAGGATTCCAGCCTGTTCAAGGCGAGGACTTTAGCCACTAGGCTACTGTGCTGAGTCTCATCCACTGGTTCCCTGGCCTTTGGCAGAGCTGGATGGGAAATGGAGCAGCCAGGATTTAAATCGGCATCCACATGGGTTCTGGCATTATAGATGGAGGCTCTAGCCACTATACCCAACACTGGCCTATTGATTTTAATTTTTTTGCAAAAAATGAATATCTTGTAAAAATAATTTATTTGAAAGTCAGTTACAGAGGGAAAGGGAGAGACAGATCTTCCCTGTGCTGGTGCATTCCCCAGATGGCTGAAGTGGGCCAGGCTCAGCCATAAAAGGAGCCAGGACTTTCTTCCAGGTTGTTCGGATCTTCCACATGCACTGCAGTGGCCCATGCCCTGAGCCATCCTCTGCTGCTTCCCCCAAGCTGTTAGCAGGCAGCTGGATCAGAACTGGAGCAGCCAGGAAATGAACTGGCACCAGTGTGGGATGCTGGCACTGCAGATAGTGGCTTAGAATGCTATGCCACAACACCTGTTGGAGAGGGCTCCTGCAGCCTTTCAGAGAACGAGTGACCTCCAGTTTGCTGCTTGATTTCTCAGATGCCTGCAGCAGGCAGTGGTGGGCAAGGCCGCAGCCAGAATCCAGGAACTCATACAGACCTCCAGTGTGGTTGGCAGGGATTCACGTGACTGAGCCTCCCACGATGCACACGGGCAGGATCCTGGGGTCAGGGATCAGAGCTGCAGGCATCCTACTGTGGGACACAAGCATCACAGAAACACCTGCTCTCGGAGGTCCAGCTTGGAAACTCCTGCCCAGGGCTGGTGTTGTGGCATGTGAAGCCACCACCTGTGTGCCAGCCTTCCACACCAGTTGGGAGTCCTGCTGCTCTAGTTCCCATGCAGCTCCCTACTAAACAAATGAACAGATGTATTTATTTGACTTGAAAGTCAGAGTTAGAGAGAGAAGAGCTCTGCCGCCTGGCGCGACAGCATCCGTGACAGCTCTGGTTGTTGCGGGCACTGGGAAGGTGAAACTGGATGGAACATCTTTCTCTATCTCCTTCTGTGGATCTGGCTTTCCAATAAGAAGTAAATCTTAAAACAGATCTTTCATCCTCTGGTTCACCCCCAGCTGGTCGTAGCAGCTGGAGCTGGACTGATCTGAAGCCAGGACCTTCTTTCCCGTCTTCCGTGTGGGTGAAGGGACCCAAGCAGGTGAACCGTGCTCTGCTGCTTTCCCAGGAGCTTGGGTACAGCTGGACTGGAAGTGGAGCAGCAGGGACTCGAACCAGTGCCCGTGTGGCAGGCCAGGGTCATGGGCGGAGGCTTAGCTCAGGCCACAGAACCAGCCCCGGACATTTTATGGGAGTCAGCACAGTATTTCAGCATTCGTCTCCAGTTTTCAAACTGGAAACGACCTTCCTCACTTAGGGTGATCTCATATACATATCACATTTCCTCAGTTTAATAACGTTGTTTTGTTTCATCATTCATTTACACTGAAGCCCTTCTCTGCATCTTTTGAAATGATCCTGCTGTTCTTCTGTTGTTAGCTGCAAATGAGATTAAGCAAACATTTCTTTGAAAAAATGTTATAATAATTTCAAGCATTGAGAGAAATTTTCCATCTGCTAGTTTATTCCCAAATGGCCGCAGCAGCCAGGATAGGAGCCGCCAAATGACCTCCCCATGGGTGGCAGGGCCGGGCATGTAGGCCCGTCCTCCGCTGTTTTCCTGGGTGTGTCGGCAGGAAGCTGAATGAGCAGTGAGGTAGCCATGTCTCCACTCTGGGCTACCACTGTCACAGGTGGTAGCATGGCCTGCTGTACCACCATGCATCTCAGCCTCCAACCCGGGGCCCTGCTATGGAGTGCAGGATGCCCAGCTGAGCTCGCCTAGGCAGATGGAACCACACACACACATACACAGCTCCGACTGCTTCGTGAAGCTAAGCGCACCTGCATCCCCTCACAGGTGGCAGGGTCGGTCAATCACATCCCACCTGCCCCCAGGCTCTGCCCCTGCCCTCACCCTTATAGGCTGAAAAACAGAGACCAGCCAACCAGACCAGCCCCTCCTGGTTAGGACAGCTGCATGTGACTGGTGGCTGTCAGACTCCTGGCTACATCTGACCCAGTTTCCTGCCAATGTCCTGGGAAGGAAGCTGAAATGGGCCTAAGTGTTTGGGCCCCTGGCTTTGCCAGGATGGGCATCTGGCAAATGAGCCAGTGGAGGAAGATGTGTCACTGTGCAGTCTTTTGGGATGTAATACTTTAAGGAAAGCAGAGTGACAAGGTGCTGGGATGCCATCACTCCAAGCACTGGCTTAACCCGCAGTACCACAGTGTCCATCCCCGAAAGTCATGTTTTTTTAAAAGATTGATTTGAGGACCCGGTGCAATAGTGTAATGGTTAAGGTCCTTGCCTTAAGCTCGCCGGGATCCCATGTGGGCGCCGGTTCTAACCCCGGCAGCTCCACTTCCCATCCACTTCCCTTCTTGTGACCTGGGGAAAGCAGTCGAGGATGGCCCAAAGCCTTGGGACCCTGCACCCGCGTGGGAGACCCGGAAAGAAGTTCCAGGCTCCTGCTTTGGATTGACGCAGCACTGGCTGCTGCAGTCACCTGGGGAATCATGGTACGGAAGATCTTCCTGTCTGTCTCTTCTTTGTACATCTGCCTTTCCAATAAAATAAATAAATCTTAAAAAAAGAAAGATTGATTTGAAAGGCTGAGTCAAGAAGACAGCTTTTATCCTCACCTCCGGCTCCAGATGGCCCCAGAGGTGGAACTCTGTGGCAGGGGCGGTAGTAGGAAGCTGGGTCGGAAGTACAGGAGCTGGCGCTGGGCTTAGCAGTCCCCTGTGGGATGCTGGTGTCCAATGGTGTGGCCCCCACTCTCCCCTCATTCACCTGCTTTGCAAAGTGTGGATCTGTGCTTTAGCAGCTGGCTGACGGAGCTTTTCAGCCCTTGGCACAGGCCGCAGTGAGACCGGGGTCCTTTTTACGTTGTGCTTGTGTCAGACTCCATGCATAGCCCGTCTTGGGCACAGCAGGTTCCAGAAAACTGGGAATTTAGGACAACTGCGCCCCCGTAGGGTCAGAGGTCAAGTAGGCCTTGAACGGCTGGAGTGCTTTGAGGTGAGGGCAGCCACCAGGCGCTTCTTCCTGCCTGTCCTCCCCTGCAGGCGGTCGAGCGCGTCCTGTACCCGCACCTGTCCACGTACTGGACCAACCTGCAGGCTGTGCTGGACGACTACTCGGTGTCCAACGCTCAGGTCAAAGCGGACGGCCACAAGGTCTACGGGGCCATTCTGGTGAGTGCCGGCCGGGGCGGCCTTCCCCCTGCGGGGCCCGGCGGCCTTCCCCCTGCGGGGCCCGGCGGCCTTCCCCCTGCGGGGCCCGGCGGCCTTCCCCCTGCGGGGCCCGGCGGCCTTCCCCCTGCGGGGCCCGGCGGCCTCCCGGCCTGAGCCGCTGCTCCTCTTGCAGGTGGCCGTGGAGCGGCTGCTCAAGATGAAGGCGCAGGCAGCCGAGCCCCGCAAGGCCGGCGCGGGCGGCCGGGGCTGCCGGCGCCCCGAAGACCTGCCCTGGGACAGCCTGCTCCTGCAGGACGCCCCGTCCGGGCCCGAGCCGGGCTTCGGGGCCGGCCTCTCGCTGCCGCCGGGCGCCGCGGGCCCCGACGACCCGTCCCCGTCCGTCGCCCTGGCCGACATCTACCGGGAGCTCTACGCCTTCTTCGGCGACAGCCTGGCCACCCGCTTCGGCACGGGCCAGCCGGCGCCCAGGGCCCCGCGGCCGCCCGGGGACAAGAAGGAGCCGGCGGCCGCCGCCGACCCCGTGCGCAAGATGCCGCAGCTCACGGCCAGCGCCGTGCTCAGCCCGCCGGGCGACGAGAGCCCGCGCGCCGCCGCCGACGGCCGGCCGCTGCCGCGCGTGCGGGGGGCGCGGGGGGCGCCGCGGCAGCAGGGCCCGGGCACCCGCGACGTCTTCCAGAAGAGCCGCTTCGCCCCGCGCGGCGCCCCGCACTTCCGCTTCATCATCGCGGGCCGGCAGGCGGGGCGGCGCTGCCGCGGGCGCCTCTTCCAGACGGCCTTCCCCGCGCCCTACGGCGGCGGCGCGGCGTCCCGCTACGTGCAGAAGCTGCCCATGATCGGCCGCTGCGGCCGCCCGGCCCGCCGCTGGACGCTGGCCGACTACTCGCTGTACCTGCCGCTCTGAGCGGGGCAATAAAGGCCGCGCCGGAAGTGACGTCTCCGCGCCGTGTCGCGCCGGCGGGGGGGGCGGCCATGGCGCTGCACTGCGCGCTGCGCGTCGAGCTGGCGCTGCTGGCCGCCGCCTTCCTGTGCGGGGCGGTGGCGGCCGCGGCGCTGACCCGGACGCAGGTGCGGGGCTCGGGGCGCCGGCTCCGAGGGGGCGGCGTGCGGGCGGCGGCGAGGGGCGCGGCGGCCGTGCCCGTCCCCTCGTGCCCGGGCCGCGTCTCCCCGCCAGGCGGGCGCCGGGGCGGCCGTGCGAGCGACCGGGGCGACCGGGGCGGCCGTGCGAGCGACCGGGGCGGCCGGGGCGGCCGGGGCGACCGGGACTCCCTGCCGAGCGCAGCCAGAAGCCGCGGCCTCTCGTGCTGCTCCTGGTCCGCGGCGGGGCAGGCCCTCCCCAGAAACGGGAACTGACCCAGCGCAGCCGCGCTCGTCCGGACAGGGGCTGCGAACCCGCGGCCGCCGGGACAGCGGGCCTCAGCAGCTTCTCTCTGCAGGGCTCCTTCCACGGCAGCTGTCCCCTGTACGGCGTGGCCGCCCTCAACGGCTCGGCCCTGGCCCTGGCCGGGCCCTCGGCCCCGTCTCTCTGCTACTTCGTGTCCGGAGCCTCGGGCTTCCTGGCGCTCTACTGCCTGCTGCTCCTGCTCTTCTGGGTCTACAGCAGCTGCATCGAGGACTCCAGCAGGTGACTGGGCCGCCCGAGGGCCAGGGGCGCGGGTGGCCAGCGCCCGCTCAACGGGCCCGCCTCTCTGCCTGGCAGGGGCCCCGTAGGGCTGCGCATTGCCCTGGCCGTCTCGGCCGTAGCGGTCTTCCTGGTCTTGGTGTCGGCCTGCGTCCTCCACTTCGGCACCCACGCGCTCTGCAGCTCCATCGTCTCCCTGAACAGAACCGCCAGGTAACGGGAGGACCCCGCTCGGCCCGGGGCGCCTGGGTGCCCAAGGGCCCGCTCACCCCGGGGCGCCTGGGTGCCCAAGGGCCCGCTCACCCCGGGGCGCCTGGGTGCCCAAGGGCCCGCTCACCCCGGGGCACATGGGTGTAGGGGTGCAGAAAGTTTGTCTGCCCCTTTACACTGCTGCCTTTTTGCCCTTGCAGTTGCTCTGAGGCCCAGAAAGTTGCATGGACACCCCCTGGAACCGCCCTGCAGTTTTATACCAACCTATACAACGCTGAAGTGAGACCGGTGCACCTGCCCAGCCACGTGGCCACGAGGGCTGGCGGCCCGACGGGCTGTGGGTGGCGAGGTGGGAGCTGGGCTCACCCCGCTCATGTCCTTCCTCCCACAGACCTCGTCCTGGGTGAACCTGGTGCTGTGGAGTGCAGTCTTGCTGCTCCAGGTCGCACAGTGCAAATACAGACCGCTGCCTTACCAGTCCCTGGACACGGGCAGCCCCGGGTGCAGCTCCGAGGCCGACGCGCTGCTCAGGCCTCACTGAGGAGTGGCTGCAGCGCCAGGCCGTGTGTCTGCCTCCGTGACAGGCCTCTCCCCACCCCCACCGCTCTTCCTGTAGCTGTTTTTGTACCAAAATACTATATATTACTTTCTCCGTCTGGTAGCAAGTCCTTGACTGTTAAGCAGATAGCCCCGAGGAAGGCTGGAGCAGACAGGGCCTGCTTGGCAAGACCGCCCTTTATTTTCTGGCAAGGAATCTGGGCCCCTTCCTCACAAGCTGCGGTAGGCTCCCACCGTGTGGTCGAAGAGCTGAGTGTTGGGAAAGTGTCCAGCCTTGTCCAAGAGGAAGTAGAAGCGCCTGCCCTTGACCTTCAGAGGCAGCATGGCAGGGACTTCACCCCGGTGGGCCATGCAGGAGACCTGGCTCACGGGGATGGTGAGCTGGGCCCCCAGGCCAAAGGGCGCGTGTGTGGTCAGGGTCACCTGCTGCCCGCCGGCCCGCAGCACCACTGAGCGCACGGACCGCAGAGAGAACACCAGGCCGGCCGCCAACACCAGGGCTCCTGCGGGGACAGCGGAGGCGGGATGAGGGGAGCCCGGGGCCGCTCCCGGGCCGGGTGGGGAGGGCGCATTGCGGGGCTCGGGGCCCGCGGAGGACTTACCGACAGCGCCGCAGCCCGCGGCCAGCCCGTACCGCCAGAGCGCGGCGCGCAGGTCCCCCCGCCGCCGGTCCGCGTCCGGAGGCTGGGCCGGGACTGGTGGCCCGGACAGGGCTGCAGCAGTCAGGGAGGCCCAGAAGACGGCCTGGCCGGCGCAGAAGAGCCCGAGGACGGTGAAGAAGCGGCCCCGCTCGTGCTGGAAGAGGAGCACGTCCCGTGGCGGGGCGGCGGCGTGCAGGGCCCGGAGCAGGAGCGGGCCCCGGCGCGCGCGGAGCAGCAGCCTGCCGAGGCCCAGCGGCCTGCCGAGGCCCAGCGGCCAGGGCGCCGCCATGCCCGCGCGCCGTCGGGGCGGGACTGCGGGCGGGGCTCGCGGTGGCCCTCCTGCGGGAAGCTGCCCGCGGGAGCCCCCTCCAGGCCGAAGCGGAACAGTCAGGCACGCAGACACAAAAGACAACATCACTCTTTATCTTAAAAAGTCGGGAGGATCCTGGGGTTAAGTACACAAAGCACCTAGGCCTTCGGTAGTTTAGTGTCAGTCCTACAAGGTACGCTTTGGCTTCCTGCCCGGTGAGGCTCAGTCTCCGGAGTTCTCCAGAAGGCAGCAAGGAGAGGGACTCGGCGGCCCCTCTCCTTGGTCACAGTCACAGGGCGGCTTTGCGCCAGTGGAAGAGAGGATGACAACCGATGGTATCCGGGGCTATTTACAGGGGCCTCTGGGCATCTCACTTCATGAACGCCACTTCCGGAATCTTGCCTTTGGCCTGGAGAACAAGACAGGGTCAGGAGTGCCAGGGCCATCCTCTTGCCTGCCCAGAAGCTGCCTGAGGCTGCTGCATTCCCCAGCGTTACCTTGAGAAGGGTGAAGGCCTGCGCAGATCTGGTGTAGTCCCAGTTGTTGTCCTGAAGGCACCTGTAGTGCACAAAGACCCATGAGATCCAAATGTGGCCACTCTGGTGAGATGCCACCTCAGCAGGGCTGGCCAGGGGGCTGCTGGCTTCAGCACCTGCCACCTGCAATGAGCACTAGTTTGTGTCCTGACTGCTCCATGTCCCAGCCAGCTGACAGCCTAAGAAAGCAGCTGGGGATGGCCCAAAGTGCTCCGGCTCCCACATGGGAGCCCGGAGGGCTTTAGCCACGGCCACCCCTAGTCGGTGTGGCCTTTTGGGGAGTGAACCAACAGAAAATCTGTTCCTTTCAAATAACTAAAAAGAGAAAAGCTACTTCTGAATCCATACAGGTCATGTTTGGAGGGCCAGGACTCCATCCTGACCTCCGTGTGAGTGGAAGGGACTCAAGCATGTGGGCCACCACACAGTTCCCCAGCCACATTAGGAGGCCAGATCACAGGTGAAACAGCTGGGGCTCAAACCGGGACCCCAGATGGGATGGCGACATCCCAAGCTGTGCCACGATGTTGGCCTCAGGACAAATTTTTATAAGCTATTCTTTAAAAACACATTTTAAAAGCAGACATAGGAACAGGGGAAACGGAGGAAGGGCTGGAAGAGGGGAGAGAGAAGAACTGGCTTACTGCTCAAACGGTCAGCATGGCTGGTCCAAGACCAACAGCCAGCGCCTCCTCCAGGGCGCCCACATAGTGCAGGGACCCAGGCTGCCTTCCCACGTGGACAGGAAGTGGTGCAGCAGGGACTCAAGTTGGCACCTGCACAGGATGCTGGCGCTCTAGGTGTTGACTTTATCACTAGATCACAACCCAGAAACTTTTTAAGTAACAAGGAGTTTTGGTTCCTACACACGCTCAGCACTCACTTCTGTGACCACTCCAGGTTCATGCCGGACTGTGTAGAGAAGGCTTGCAACATTTCCTGCTGCTCCGGGGACAGGGTGGGCACGGGGCTGGAGGAAGGCGTGGGGGCAGGCATGGCAAAGGCTCTCTGGATCTCTTCAGGGCTGGCATTCCTCACAAACAGCTCATCGTTGACGATACACAGCCTTGGGGACAAAGAATACCTTCAGCAGCTGCTCAGAGACCCCCATCCTCCCACATCACTCCTTCTCTGACTCTGGGCATGCAGACCCTCCCCAGTGCTGGCTGCTGCCTTGGTCCCCCATCTGCAGAGCTCCTCCTCTGGGCTTGGTATTCACAATCACAAGGTGGTCACAAAGCATACTAGAGTCCCATGTTCTCCTCCAGGGACAGCTGAGCCCTTGTCTATGTTATCTGTCTTCACAACAAACTTCCAAGTGAGCATTGCTATGGAAGCTTTCTGGTGAAGCAGTGGGCCCATGGCTGGTAGAGGAGTCACAAGGACAATCCCGACAGCCCACTCTGCAGCCAGGCCATGCTCTCTGTGTGAGCTGCAGGCCCACATCTGCCACCGAGCACTGACCACACTGCTGGCCAGCATCTGGGACTGGTGCCCAACCCAGTGAACCGGACACTTACCCTGAGTTGCTGGCAGGAACAGCTATGAATGTCCGAGTAAAGGCTCGCAAAGAATCCCGAGCCTTCCCGTCCACTGCGAAGAGAACGGCAAGGGCCATTAGAGCCACTCGTGTTTACAGCCGCTTGCATCACTGTCTGCTTGGAATCCAAGACCCTGAGAGGGCCACACGGGAGTGATCATGTTACACATGGGAGCAGACGTGGCGCAAAGGGTCCCACTATTAACCCACCAAGAGCACGTTTGTGCACTGGGCTGGACTTTTCTCACTTCCCCTGGTCCTCTAAGCCCATCTACGAACACACAGAAGATGCTGGGCCTTGGAGGCAACTTGTTCAGAGTCCCAGAATCAAGCTGCAGAGGGAAACCCAGACCTAGGCTTCAAAGTCTAGGTTCTCCTAATCTAGCCTAGCATTTTCCTACACAACAGGCTCAGCACAATTGCTTTAGGAGCCAACGTGGGATTGGAAAGGGACAGAATGCTGAGAGGCAGAGAGCGTTGGAGACCATAGCTGGAGGAGGGAACATGCTCAGGACCCCCCAAATTCTCACCTTCCTTGAAGACACCGTTGACGGAAAAACACAGTAACGTGTTCTGAAAAAGAAGCATCAGGGAACACTGGAGGCTTCCCAGCAAGCACCCCACGGGCGCTGACCTCTTAAATGCCACTCCCCTGCCCCCTCCCCCACCCAGTTCAAGGCTTCTGCCAGGACACCAAGTAAGCGCTTACGGTCTGGGCGCTTATGTCTACAACGAAGGAATTGACGTCATGCTGAGTTTTGGGCAGCTCATTGAGGAAGGCCACGACATTGAGACGCGTGTGCTTCAGCAGTCGGAAGCGCAGGGCTAGGGTGCGGGAAGTACAGGGTTAGGCTGCCATGCCTGCCCAGGCTCCATGGCCAAGACCCTCCCAGCCACACTAAACTTACTAGGGTCCTTGAGCTTCTTCACATTTCTGCTATCCTTGAAGTACTCGGCCAAGCTGCTCCTGGGGGGAAAGCAGGCTGTGATGAGAACACGACGTTTCCAGACAGGGCTGGTCTCTTCCTGCTGGGAAACGCTGTGGGCCCAGGCAGGCCTGGGATGGCAGCTCACCGGCCGGGGTTCTGGGGGATGAAAGGAATGCTCAGGGAGCAGCAGGCGCCGTCATGGTAGGCGTCCAGGAGGCCCTGCCGGTCTCCAGAGTCATAAATCGCATAGTACCTGTTGGGGCAAAGGGGACAACTTTAAACTCAGCACCCACAGGGGCCCCAGCAGCTCTTGGAGTGAACTGGGCTTGGTACAGTGCGCCCACAGCCTGGTACCCCGGGATACTTACTGCTGCAGGAAGTGCAGGACCAGACTCTTAAGGTTTTCTGTTCCAAAGTAGCTTCCCTGGAAGCAAACAGGTGTTACGACCACAGAGCTAAAGGATGCGCCCAGCTCCCTGTTCCAGCTCTGTCTCCAGTTCTCACCTTGCAGGGCGGCAACAGCGTGGGAGCTTCGACATCAAAGGCAATAGGCGGGGGCAACTCATGGCCATCCTGTGGAGACAAAGTGAAAGTTTACACCAAAGGAAGAATGCCTAAGTAGATGGAAGAGGGTGAAAGGCCGGAAAAGGGTCCAGGAATCCTACCAGATGCAACTTATGCCTGTTTTCTGGGAAGTGAGGTTAACTTTTGTCACGGGCCTGTGTTAGTGGGAGCGGGACACTGTACTCTCTAAACAGGATTAAAATGGCTATCAACTTACCAGGCGTAACAATTTGGGGAATCGCTCGCGAACGGCGCTGTCAAGAATGGGACAGAAGTGAGCGATGTTTCAGAGCCCCCATGCCTCCTGGGCTGCTTGAGGAGCAAACACATCAAGGCCCAAGGGACAGCCCATCCCATCCTGCTCATCCCCCACTCCTCCCCAGCCTGTGCTCAGAGAAAAATGGCTCCCACTCCCCACCTGACCCAGGGCTCCCAGCCACAGACTGCCCTGAAGGCTGTCACTTTCCTCTCTGCCTCACCCCACGTGCCACAAAGAGTAGCACTCCCAGCCCAGGCTTTAAGCCCAGGCCCTCCTTCCCCTCCCTGCCCCCCTTACCTTCCACCTACTCACCTGCGCAGCCCAGGGAGGAGGGAATAGGGTGGGAGCCCAGGCTCTGCAGCCTCACCAGGTATCATCCATCAGTTCTGCCAGGTCTGGCCTTGGCCAAGACCAGAGCACACCACAGGGATGGCACAGGATGTTGGGGCAGGGAGATGAGCAAGGCGGGGCTCAAAAGGGGGAGGTGAAGACAAGAAAGCAAGAAGCGAAAGGAGAACAGGAGAGGGGCAAGTGAGAGATGGGGAGACTTGGGGCAGGTGGGAGGAAAGAGCCAGGCCAAACGGACGAACGAGGTGGCAACGAGGCGTTCAGAGAGTAGAAAGGGAAAGGAGGAAGACACCCGGACACAGCCTGTTCCTTCAGCTGGCCCTCTCCCAGTGGTCCAGGGGAACAGCGGGAAAGCAACCCTTGCCAGGGTGAGCGGGCACTGACTGCTGGCCAGGTCTCTGTCTGCTCCCTGGGTTCCGAAGTCAATTGGGTGGGCGTGGGAAGCAACACAGCCATGGGGGCAGGAGACAGCCCTCAGCAGTGAGGGTTCAGGCCGCTGCAAAGTGGGGGGGGGTGAGGATCCATGCCCCACCTCTGTTGGCCCCCAAGTTCTCTCCTGATGGCCCCTCTGCGGCTGTGCCTGTCTTAGGTTGTTCCTTCCCTGAGGAATCTTACCCGTCTCTGGCTAACCAGCCATCCTCCAGGGCCAAGCAGGGTGACGTGAGGTGTGCAAGTGAGGGAGGGGCAATGCCCCTAACAGGGCCACTTCTGTCTCCTTGGCAGCCTAGGCCCCCGTGGCCTCCACGCCCAGCACCAGTCTTGGGATCCCGCGTCTGCTGGCGGGGCCCCAGCTCTGGTCATATGTCTTGGGGAACCCAGGTTTCTTCTCCAGGGAGGGCCCAGCTCACAGCACAGGACGAGACACACAGATTGCACGGCATCAGCCGCCAGGAGGCCTCAGCATCAGCACGGGGAGGCAAGCCCAGCTGACAGCCTTGGGCAGGTGGACTGTGAGAAAAGGGTCCCTCTTGGCACATCAGCAAGAGGGGCCATCATAAGATAAAGGAGGACAAAGGACCAAAAACTATCTTAGTCAAAAACTCCAGGTGCAGAGGGCTTTCTCAGTCCAAGGCAAGCCCATGTGTGGGGCACGTGTAAGACACCCCCGAGCCAGAGTACAAAAGGGAAATGTCCTTCCTGGAACAACAGGGTGGGCAGATTCCAGAAGAGGCTGTATTCAGGAAGGAAGGAGAAAGGCCAGGGAGCCAAGTAAACAAGCAGTGTGGTGAAAGCCAAGGGAAGAACTGAGGGAGGCTCGGACACATGTTGGGTCCAGGAGAGGAGCATGGGATCCTCCCGAGCCACAAGTGGCTCCAGCTCAGGGCTGCGCTTGTCCTGCAGACGGTGCTGGTCAGGGGCGTCAGCTCAGCCTCCCAGGGGGTGAAGGTCCCCAGGAGGGGAGACAGAGCCTACAACTGACCTGATGTAGGTGGACTGGTCTCGGAAGGTGTCACACAAGGGATTTCCATCAAGCCACAGTTCTTCTAGCTTCAGCCCTTTTATCTTGTCTAACTCCCGCTCAGACTTCAACTACAAAGAACGGGGAAATGAGGGAGGAGAGATGCTGGTGAGACAGCCGGCTGACCTCCACACTGCTAATCCCTACCCTTACCTCCCAGCCCCCACAGCCCCCCCCAGTCCCTGCCCACCCACCAGAGCACAGCCACGCTATCATGCTCACTTCATTTCCGGAGAGGTTCAGCACCTTCAGGTTGGGCGCCTTCTGCACCAGGGCTGACATGTCATCCAGCTTGAAGAGCCTATTGTCACTCACATTCAAGGATAACAGCTGTAAGAGAGAAAGTTTAGTGCTGCCAGTGAGTGGATCCAAAGGCAGATCTAGTCCTGATCCTATCCCATCTACTCCACGCCACTTCCCCACATCTGATACTGGGCCAAAGGCCTTACCTCTGGAATATTCTCTTCAATGATTCGCAGGGTAGCAGCCATACAATTTCGACGATTCAGTACAACGTCAATATTCTGGGCCACCAAATCTTTTGGAAGCAGAAAGAAAAACAAGAGAAATCTAAGAGGGCTCGCCTGGGCCAGTGTTGGAACTAAACTGTTCTCAACACTCCTGCCCTGACACATTCCTTCTATGTCCTCCTTCCTGAGAATTACCGGGGTCTGAACGCAGGCCCTTGAGGTCAAGTGCTTGCTGGGAGCCATCATATCGTTTGCTCATGATCACCTGCAGAGGAACAACGGAAGACAGTTCAGTTATCACAAGGTACGGAAGGTGCAGCAGACAGGTGTACACATTGAAAACTAAAGCCAGCCCTACCTTGAGCTGGTCTATTTGTTCTGGCTTCAGTTCATTCTGTATAGTGCGCGGTGGGGCCGAAGAGTTAATAATGATAGATATCTGGAGGAAGACACGAAGGGCAGAGTAACTCCAGGTGAAGACAAGCCCCAAACTGCGACCCCGTTCCTGCACCACGCACCAATTCCCACCTCCAGTTGAAGCAAGTTCTTTAACATACCCTTCTGTTGTCCCGATCCAAAATCTTACAGTTAACTGCCTTCAATGCAGATGCAGTGCTGGCATCTTCGACAAAAAACTGAGCCCGTGTGTTCTCATAGTGAAACTGCAAGAGCCGAGAGCATTCACCAGTCTGAGAAACCAGAACCCCCGTCCTCCCAGGTGCCCTGCTGGCCAGCCATGTCTCACCTCAACGGGGGTAAACGGGACACTGCACTTGCTCTGAATCATGCTCATGAGCCACGACTTGTCATACTTTCTGCCATAAGGAATCTAGAAATGAGAAGAAGACGAAAGATGGACACTCTACGTAACTAACGCTCTACAGTACAATCCAGCACATTTTTGTTTTAAAGATTTATTTCTGTTGGGAAGGCAGATCTGATTCACAGACCACAGAGAGGTAGATCTTTCATGTGCTGGTTCACGCCCTCAAAAGGCTGCCATGGCTGGAGTCCAACTGATCCGATTCTAAACCAGGAGCCAGGAACTTCTTCCTGGCCTTCCACACAGGTGCAGGGCCCAAGGCTGTGAGCCGTCCTTGACTGCTTTCCCAGGCCACAAGCAGGGAGCTGGATGGGAAGTGGAGCAGGCGGGACAAGAACTGATGCCCACATAGGATCCCAGTGCTTGCAAGCAGAGGATTGGCCAGTTGAGCCATTGTATTACCCCAAGTTTTTCTAAAGAAAGGACAATTGGACCCAGCATGGTACCCTAGCAGCTAAAGTTCTAGCCCTGAATGCGCTGGGATCCCATATGGACACTGGTCCTAATCCCAGCGGCCCTGCTCCCCATCTAGCTTCCTGCTTGTGGCCTGGGAAAGCAGTTGAGGATGGCCCAAAGCCTTGGGACCCTGCGCCTGCGTGGGAGACCTAGAAGCGCCTCCTGGCTCCTGGTTTTAGATCGGCACAGCTCCGACCATTGCAGCCACTTGCAGAGTAACTCCACAGATGGAAGATCTTCCTCTCTGTATATCTGACTTTCAAATAAAATTAAAGTAAATCTTGGGAAAAAAAATTGACCCATATGTTAAAAAAAAAGGACACATCACAGCTTTACACTTGAGACACATGGCTTCCTTAGCCTCCTTCCTATCTACTTATATACTTCTTATCCTTCCAAACAATTAAGTTGCTCAATTAAAAAAATGTTAACAAGTTACCTACACTGTGTCTGCCTGTCACTAAAGCGCATGGGATTCCAAGACCCATCTTCGGCCAGCTGACCAGGAGGACTGCAGGAACCCTCTAGCTGGTGACCCCTCGGAGCCCTTCGGCCCATGCCCACCAGCCCTTCTCAGCCTGTTCTCCAGTGTTCTAAGCTCTCAACTTCCAGGAGACAGAGCAGATCCCTGACTGCACAGCAAGGTGTTGAGAGCACCGCCACCCCAAGCAAGGTCTCCAGCTTCCCTTCCCGCAGCACTCACTGTGATCTTGAACCAGTTTTTGGAGGTCCCGTCCTGGCTGGTGCCAGCCCCTCCTCTCTCTGTAGGAGTCTTGTCTCTCCGAACAGTCACATGAATACGCTCCCGATCGTGCCACGTGTCGCCGCGGCGGTTAGGGCGAGCCCCATAGGGGGTGCTGTGAGGGGCAGAGAGCAAACCGTCCACACGTGCTCAGGTCTCCTCAGAGCCTGCCCTGTGCCGCACAGGACTCCCTGGTCCACGCATTTCTTACACTTCTCGGCCTTCAGATAAATCATGCTGCTAATCCCCAACAGACAAATAGTGCATGTTCTTTCTGATACAAGGCAACGTTCATGCAAAGTACAGAACAAACAGGCATATAGGTGAGCAAGTATGTGCATGTATTCTTACGGATGAGCTGCATAATTAAGACTAGTGCATTGGGAAGTGAAGGTATGTCACAGCAGGCATTTCCACTCCCCGTGAAACAGTTAAATATATCTTGACAACATGACACTAGCATCTCTATCTTGTCTATACCTACAACTCCATGGTATACGTAAACAGCAGGATGTTAAACCTGTAACTATTACTAAAGGAATATACCACTGCGGTATGTGGGGGGAGGGGTTGGGGAACGAGCAAGGAGAGGGGAAAGGACCAATCTCACACAATAAGGACAAACCTGTATCATGGGAAATAAAACAATTTCTGAAGAAACACGTGGACATACACATAGGATACACAGCCTAGGGTCTATAATAACCCAGACCACGGATCACTTACTACCGTCCACGGGGAGCGTCCTGCGCATCACTCATCGCCACATCTCCATCGTCTTCCTCCAGCCGGTTGGACCGGACCCCAGAGCCACCTCTTCCAGAGCGACGGTTACTCTCACCATACTTCCACCGGAAAGGACCCCGACCTTTCTTTCTTCTTTGAGGGAAACTAACGCGGTCATCGTACTCTGGCGACGGAAACAGGCACACCAATTAGAAAGTGTCGCTGGTCCCAGTTCCTCGGGGGTGGCAGTCACAGCGCCAGCATGCGGGACAGGCTACCCAAGAGCCTCAGAGGTCCCCTCCGGAAAGCTCTGTGGAGAGCCTGCTGCGAGGTGGCGGCAGGGAAAACGCTGTTGAAAGGGTGTGCGGGCCTTTGGACAAACAAAGCAGTAACCAAAACCACTGAGAAGCAGAATAGAGAAGTGTGGGCCACGAGCCTGACCCCTGCAGACCATTGCAACTTTGCCACTGACCGACTTCTTGTCTGTACTCTCCCAACGCAAGTGACAACAAGGGCAGTGCTGGCTCTTTAAAATAGCTGCGTGCTTCTGAGCTTCACTCAGGTTTCCAGGCGCTCTTGGCCTTCTTGCCCATCAAAGCCCTCTCTAACTCAGGAGCTGGGACCCAGGATCAGGCCCTAAGAAGCAGCACCCTAACACCTGAGAACCTCAAAGGTCCCAGAGTGCTCTCCGGGAGCAGGACTTCCCGACTCCTGCTTTAATGGTGTTCACGACTCGCCAAAGGGGTCTACGTAATGCCCAGTCCTCCACAAACAACAAACTCCAGCAAACAGCCCCCAGCGAAGCACAATACCTGGGTAGAAGGGCCATGGACAAGTATGGGGGCGTTCTGCAGCACCCGGCACTAGGCTACCGGCAGTGGACAGTCGCAGATGCGGACACACACAAGGGTAGTTACTTCCCACCCCGAGGGCGGTAGGGAGCGGGGACCCAAGCGATGCACTCACTCCAGCTCGGTGCAGGTAACCCAGCTCTCAAAACCCGGCTGCCGCGCTCTCCTAACCACTACCAGGGACTCAGGGCCGGCGGGAAGATGGGACTAAAAACATCCTAGTCTCAAGACATTGAAGCCAAAGCCACAGACCAGAGAGCGAGGCCGACCGGACGCGGTTACCAAATACACAAATAAAACACACAAACAGGGCACCAGAGCGGCCCACTGAGTCACAGCCAAACCCAGCTGACAGGCACCGACCGCTCCGGGTTCAAAGGCGTCCCGTCACCTCGCCCCGGGCCGCAGCACCTGCCCAACGCCCGTGCTCCGGGGGTCCCCGAGTCGCGCGCCCCCGCTCGAGTCCGGCCGCTCCTCCCGGGCCCGCCGCGCCCCCGGCCGCCCCGCGCCGCTGCCCTCGACGCCGGACACCCCTCGCGGCCTCTCGCCCCGGAGCTGCGGCTAGGCCGGCGCCGCCCACTCGGAGCCCGGTGGGTCCCCTCCACCCCCGAGGGCCACCACGAACCGTTGTACGACTTCCCCTCGTCCGCCATCGCACCGCACGGAGCAGGGACGCCGAGGCGCGCTGGCCACGACGCCACCAAACGTCCGAGCGCCCGAGGACTCCAGACTCAAGCGCTCCTACGCCGGGCGCCACCGCATTTATCCGTGAAGCACGTCGCGCGCCGCTGACGTCAGCGCCATGTGGGCGGAGCCTCGGGCCCGGCGCGCCCCCCGCGCGTGCGCACTTACAAGCAGCCGGGCGCCGCGCCACGCTCCCCGCCCCCTCCCTTGAACGCTGGAGTCGCTGCTGAGCAGTATTAAACGCTGTAGAGCCCCTAAACGCTGGAGCAGCCCCTAAAGGCCAGAACAATACTAAACGCCGGAGCAAGCAACGGCTGCAGCCCAGAACTCGGGGCAGAAACAGGGCCTACCCAGCGCATTGCAAATAGTATTTAAGCCCCTGTTTAGCTCCTCACCAGTGGCGGATCAATGAATACCTCCCTTAATCCTACAACGGATTAATAATCATCAAGTCGGAAACCCCAATCCATGACTTTTTTCCCCATTAATTCTTGGCTCATAACGCGTTACGAACGTAAGAGTGACTTAACAAACACATGGGAAACCAATACATTTCTGTTGTTTTCCAATACAGGTAAGCCACACTGCACCACGCCCACCCTCCCCCACAGGTGTAGCGCTAAATCCCATCACAGAGACAGCTGGGCAATGAACGTAGCTAGCTGTGGCAGATTACTTGCCCAGGGATGCCAAGAAGGCAGGACATTTTAAACGCCAGGGCCAGAGCCCGGCCATAAAATTTTCACCTTGCACATGCTGGGATTCCCATATGTGTACCAGCTGGTGTCTCGCTGCTCCACTTCTCATCTAGCTCACAGTGTTATCTGGCTCCTTGCTTTAAATCACCTCAGCTCTGGCCCTGAAGCCACTTGCAGAATGAACCAGCCCAAAGTTATTTTCTCTGTCTTTCCAATAAAAAATAAATGCCAGGGCCACAGCTGGGTTGAGTGCCACCAGTGAAACCTTGAATGCACCAAGATCCCGTATGGGCGCCAGATCCAATCCCAACAGACCCACTTCCCATCCAGCTCCTTGCTTGTGGCCTGGGAAGGCAGTCGGGTAGGGCCCAAAGCCTTGGAACCCTCCACCCATGTGGGAGACCTGGAGGAGGCTCTGGACTCCTGCCTTCAGACTGGCTCAGCTCCAGCCATCACGGCCACGTGGGGAGTGAACCATCGGACGGAAGATCTTTTGGTCTCCCCTCTTCTCATCTGCCTTTCTAATAAAAAATAAATAGGGCCCAGCATGGTGTCCTAGCTGCTAAAGTTCTCACCTTGAAAGCACCAGGATCCCATACGAGTGCTTTTCTAATCCAGCTGTTTCTGCTTCCCATCCAGTTCCCTGCTTCTGGCATGGGAAAGCGGTCAAGGACGGGACGGCCCAAAGCCTTGGAACCCTGTACCCCCTTGGAAGACCTGGAGGAAGTTCCTGGCTCCTGGCTCTGGATCGGTGCAGCACCGCCTATTGCAGTCACTTGGGAAGTGAATCAATGGATGGAAGATCTTCTGTCTCTCCTCCTCTCTGTATATCTGACTTTGCAATAAAAATAAATACATCTTTTAAAAAAATAAAAAACAAACTTACCATACTCTATAGAATGGGTTCGTGTTCCAGGTGCTGTGCTAATAATCCAATCACTGTTTTAAACGTTTCTTTTATTGGAAAGTCAAAAAGAGGAGAGACAGGAAGATTTTTCTGTCCGTTGATTCACTCATCAAATGGCCACAATGGCCGGAGCTGAGGTGATCCAAAGCCAGAAGCCAGAAGCTTCTTCCAGATCTCCTCTGCGGATGAGGGCCCCAAAGCTTTGAGCCATCCTTGGCTGTATCCCCAGGATACAAGGAGGGAGCTGGATGGGAAGTGGGGCTGATGGGATTAAAACCAGTGACCCTATGGGACTCTGGCACGCTCAAGGCGAGGACTTTAGCCACTAGACTGCTGCCCTAGCACCAGTTTTGTTGTTGTTTTCTATTTTGCCCACCTTTTTAAGATTTATTCTTTTTGGAAAGGGGGATGAGAAGGCAGAGATTTACAGAGATGTGAGAATGATTTTCCATTCGCTGCTTTGTTCCTGAAATGGTGACAAGTGAATCTGAGGTGATGCAAAGCCAGGAGCCAGGAGCTTCTGGATCTCCCACGTGGGTACAAGGTCCCCAAGCTTTGGGCTGTCCTCGACTGCTTTCCCAGACCACAAGCAGGGAGCTGGATGGGAAGTGGAGCAGCCAGGACATGAACTGCACCCAAATGGAATCCCAGCCCCTATAGTAAAAGGTGAGGATTTAGCCACTGAAGCACTGTTCTGGGACCCTAGTTCCCTGTTCACATACCTGGGTAAACAGTGGATGGTGCTGCAGTCACTGGACCCCCGTAACCTATGCGGAAGACCTTGACTGAGCTGCAGGTTCCCAGCTTCAGCATGGCCCAGGCCTGGACACAGTGGCCATTTGTGAACCAGAGGAAGATCTCTGCTTCTCCTTCCAACTGCCTTTTAAATAGTTTATGTTTTCAGGATTTGTTGATTTTTGGCCTCGCCTTGCATCCACTGGGATCCCATATGGTCACCAGTTTGTATCCTAACTGCTCCTCTTCCCATCCAGCTCCCTGCTTGTGGACTGGGAATGCAGTGGGGTACAGCTCAAAGTCTAGGATCCTGCACACGTGTGGGAGACCCAGAAGAGGTTTCTGGCTCCTGGCCTTGGATCAGCGCAGCACCAGCTATTGCAACCACTTGGGGAGAGAATCAGCAGTCAGCTCCATCTGTTTGTTCTTTCTGTATATTTGTCTCCAAAAAAAATAAAGAAGTACTTATTTTTACTTTTTAAGACAGATTTAGAGGAAAGATCTTCTAGTCATTGGTTCATTCCCCAAAGGGCCTCAATGGCTGGAGCTGAGCTGACACAATGCGATGCCAGGAACTTCTTCCAGGTTTCCCACGTGGGTGCAGGGTCCCAAGGTTTTGCGCCATCCTCTCCTGCTTTCCCAGGTCACAGGCCAGGAGCTGGATGGGAAGTGAGGCCACTGGGATTAGAACCGGCACCCATATGGGACCCTGGTAGTTGCAGGGGAAAGATTAGCTAATTGAACCATTGTGCCAGCCCTGTAAATAAATCTTAAAAACAAAACAAAAAAGCCCCGTCAGGGCCACAGGCTCTCCCAGGCCCCTAAAAGCACCAGGGCCAGTCCCTGAGTACTGTGGTTACTGAGCTTCTTCTGAGATGCATCATACGGTAGGACTGCACTGACCTCAGAATGGTGGATTGTGGGTTCTGGTCTGGAAGAACCAGGAAGTTATTAACCTCCATGAGGGGTACTATGGGCTCGTCTCTCCTCCGAACCCTTGGCTTTGTGTTGATCTGCAATGGCTGTGTGAAGGCAGCTGAAGCTGGAACAGGGGCCATTCTTTTATCCCCTGGCAGTAGGCATGCCTCATTCAGCTCCAGGAGACACTGGGACAGAAGGGTTGGAGGACACGGATGAAACTGGTCCAGATACTGTATGGAGTGTCGCCACCCTTTGGGTACCCATGCTGGATCCTGCTCCCACCGTTGACAGGAATTTCCCTGGTAATAAGGTGCAGCTGCACTCAGCTAGCCCCTGCCTGCGGGGGGCACAGGGCCCAAGGGCTGCCCCAACAACAGCGGCGACCCCCGAGCCTTTTTGTTCTAGCACTGGGCAGCAGCATCGCTCCCTCTGCTGCCCACACTCTAGGACGCGCCCACCTGGAAATGACGACATGGCTCGTGAGGCTGACAGTCTCCTTGTAATTGGGAGAGCACTGGCTGCAGCACGTTTGGCAGATTCTGAGTCACCTGCAGCTGCCAGGCAGGGCTGTGCGGGCAGCTGAAGGGCTCGGGGCCCAACTTCAGTGGCGCAGACGAAACAGCAGGAGCTCGAGCTCCAGCCCAGAAAGCAAAGTTGGTCCCTGGGACAGCCTGGCTTCCCTTTCGCGCTCCTGGACAGCTGATGAAGGACATGCTTGCCACTGCTGCCGCCGAAGCGTCCTCTGGGAGAGGCTGGGGAGGGTTATGAAAACTCCTAGTGGAGACATTCTCCCTGCGGGCCCCCGGCTGGCCTCTGCTCCTTTCCAGCCACCTCCCAGCACAGTCCAAATCTAGAACCGTGTGATTTAAGGGTCTGAGGGTAGGAAGGGGAGGGTCACGTGGTCAGTGGCATGGGGTGGGGAGGATCACGGGCAGCGGCCAGTCTCAGCCGTTGCAAGGAAGCAGGGCCTCTCTCCCCAGCACCCTGCACAGGCTCAGTGGCAACACTGGTCACCTGCCCTCCCAGGAGGGCTGCTAGACCTGCCCCCCCAAGTGCCTCAGTGTGGTCAGGGTTCACGCAAGGAAGACCACAAAGATGATGAAGAAGACAATGAGGATGAGGAAAATTTTGACCATGAGCCACCGGTTGGAGGTGACCGACTGGAAGTACTTGAGGATCTCTGAGTGGGCGGCCTCGACATCCAGCTGGGCTCCTAGCACGTTCTCGTCGATCCTGGGAGCAGGGCCGGGAGAGGAGACAGAAGGACACTGCATTAAAAAGGATGCTGCCCACGTCTATTTACCAACATGGTGAGATGGCCACAGCATGTGCAAGCAAAGTGCACGCATACCCTCTGACTCCATTTGCGTGTGGAAAGGCTCTGAAGGGCTTGGGGCTGGAAATCACCTCTGCCACGGGACAGCCCATGGCTCCTCATCTTCAAAGCGAGGAATCACAAACCCTGCCTCTTCCCAGCCTGCTGGCTGCAGTGAGTTAACAATCCTGAACCCCAATGGGAGCAGCTCACAGGTGACTGGCGTGGAGGAGCAACATGCTGAACTGCTGCCTGCAATGCTGTCATCCCATACTGGAGTGTCAGTCTGAGTCCTGGTCGCTCACCTTCTGATTCAGGCCCCTGTTAATACACCTGAGAAAGCAGCAGAGATGGCCTGAGCACGAGCGCGGGGGAGTGCACCACGTGGGAAACCTACAAGGAGCTCCTAGCTCTCACCTTGAACTGGCCGTTGTTGCTACTTGGGGAGAAGACCACGTGAAGGAAGATCTGCCCCCTCTGTCACTCTGCTCTTCAAA